GTGCAGGCCGTCTGGAGTTAAAGGAGGACAACATTGAGTCTCTGTGTCCGCCTCCTGCCTGCTGCAGTTGTCATCGGTGGTCCAAGCCTGCTGCTCCTTCCTGGTGAAGCAGCTCCACCCCTCTAACTGTTTAGGGATTTGCTCCTATGCTGATGCTCAGGGCTGCCATGACCTGCAGAGGGCTGCTAACACCTACACCATGGTGGGTACTCAGCTCCTGTAAACAGACCACTACTTCTGAAGTCATTACAGGAAACCAAAGAATCTGATTTAATCTTCGTAGGACAAATATTTCCTCTCATCTTATTTCCTATAATAACAGGTTTCCTTTTATCGTCCCTTTTCCCAGTTTAGATCCCAGTTAGATTGCTTATTCCTGATCTTATTCCTCTAACAAATGAGCTTCTTATTCACAGCACATCACACACCATTACTGCCTCAGTAGATGCTTTTCTAGCACAGAGTTGCTATGGCGACTATAAAAAAGCCTCTCCATTGTTGTTATTATTCTTTTTCCTGTTAGTCATCCCTGCCTTTAAATGCCTCATTTGCATTAAAGACTTTTTGTATTTCTGTCTCTGTCAACGTTCCCTCTGTTCGCTTCTTTCTCAGAGTGGATTTTTGTAAGTAATCAGAAATAATTAGGTAGTAAAGATGGATTCCCCTATTCTTACGGTCTGCTATTCGGTCTGCTAATTCACACATGCATGCACACACACTCTCTCTCTCTCTCTCTCTCTCTCTTCTCTCTCTTCTCTCTCTCTCTCTCTCTCTCTCTCTCTCTCTCTCTCTCTCTCTCTCTCTCTCTCTCTCTCTCTCTCTCTCTCTCTCTCTCTCTCTCTCTCTCTCTCTCTCTCTCTCTCTCTCTCTCTCTCTCTCTCTCTCTCTCTCTCTCTCTCTCTCTCTCTCATCTCTCTCTCTCTCTCTCTCTCTCTCTCTCTCTCTCTCACACACACACACACACCCTTATTTTCTATGAGAGAACAGAGAAACAACCGAAGTTTGTTTTTGTAGGTGTTTCTTGCTTTTTCTTGTATAAAGGCAATTTATATATTTTCATCCATCCATCTAATTTTGGCCACTTATCTAGGGGTCAGGTCACGGGGGCAGCAGTCTAAGCAAGGAGGCCTAGACTTCTCTCTTCCTTGCCACTGAGCCAGCTCCTCCTGGGAATCCCAAGGCGCTCCCTGGCCAGCAGAGAGACATTGTCCCTTCAGTGTGTCCTGGGTCTTTCTTTAGGTCTTCTCCCAGTTGGACATGGCCAAAAAACCTCACGAGGGAGGCATCCTAACTAGACGACCAAGCCACTTTAACTGGCTCTTCTCGATGTGGAGGAGCAGCAGGTCTCCGGCGAGCCCCCCCCCAGATGACAGAGCTTCTCACCCTATGTCTAAGGGAGAGCCCAACCACCCTGTGGAGAAAACTCTTTTGGCTGCCTGTATCCGCAATCTCATTCTTTCGGTCTCTACCCAGAGCTCGTGACCATAGATGAGGGTTGGAACGTAGAACGATCGGCAAATTGAGAGCTCCACCTTCCAGCTTTCTTATCACCACAACAGATCGGTACAACGCCTGCATCACTGCAGATGCAGCTCTAATTCGCCTGTCAATGTCACGTTCCAGCTTTTCCTCACTTGGCCCCAAGATACTTAAAATCCTCCACTTGGGGCAGGACCTGATCCCTGACCTGGAGAAGGCATTCTACCCTTTTCGACTCATGACCATGGTCTCGGGTTTAGAGGAGTTGATTCTCATCCCAGATGCTTCACACTCAGCTGTGAACTGCTTCAGTGAAAGCTGGAGATCACGTTCTGATGAAGCCAACAGGACCACATCATCTGCAAAAAGCAGAGATCTGATCCTCAGGCAACCAAAACAGATCCCTTCAACACCTTGGCTGTGCCTAGAAATCCTGTCCATAAAAGTTTTGAAGAGAATCGGTGACAAAGGGCAGCCTTGGCGGAGTCCAACTCTCACTGGAACGAGCCCGACTTACTGCCGGTAATGCGGACCAAACCCTGACACCGGTCATACAGGGACCTAACAGCCCGTATCAAATGGCCTGATACTCCATAATCCCGGAGTTCCCCCCAAAGGGCCCTCTGAGGGACGCGGTCGAATGCCTTCCCCAAATCCACAAAACACATGCCGCAGAGGAGTATAGATTAGTTAATTTAATGATTTCCAAATGTATTAATTTTCTTATAATTCTTGTTGAAAATGTTAAACTTGCCTTAGTGCATATTAGTGATAATAGAAACGTGGGCCATATCAGATTGATTATGTTTTTTTTTTACTATTCTTAGACTAAAAGAGTGACGAAACACTGAGTTTCAATTTTATTTTATTTCCTAATTTTACCTTATATTGTGGTTTTTTCGTCATCCAGAAACATTTAACCACTCATTCCTTAAAGTATTTTCAAACTGCAATTTTCTTTACTTTTTCCCCCATCTGGTTCTCTGTCATCCTCTGGGAGTGACAGATGGAATGCAGAAACTCTTACTTTTGCCCCCCAACCATTTCATCACTCAGGTTTACCTTATTTATTTATTTATTTTATCCCCCCCCAGGAACATTTCCTGGAGGTAGTTGGAAGCCAGGAGTTTGTTTTACTACCAGTAGAGGAGATGGAACGGCTGCTGACATCTGATGACATCAACGTGCCTGATGAAGAAACCGTAGTGACCTCTCTGCTAAGTTGGGTCGGTCACGACCCCCTCACTCGACAGCGCCACCTGTCCTCGCTGCTGTCTCACATCAGGCTACCCCTGCTGCAACCACAGGTGAAAACAGGACTTCTTTTGGCCACCATGTAACTAAATAAAGTGGCACTGATTGGTTGGGTGATCTCAATGATTGATTTGATTGAAAGCTGGCAGTAACATGTAGGAGAAGAGGAGCTGTACTCTGCTTCATACACTCTCACTCATTTTCTGGACCATGTCATCCTCATCAGGGTTGCAGCGAGCTGCTAACTCCAGCTGTCCAGCGGGGGACACCCTGGACAGGTCTCCAATCAGGGACACACAGAGAGACAACCAGTCATAACTAGGCTAGTTAACGTGTTTTTGGTGTGTGGGAGGAAACTGGAGTACCTAGAGAAAGTCCATGCATGCGTGGGAAGAACATGCAACCAACTGCTCCACCGTGCAGCCTTGCTCCATAGCACCAGAGAAAATAAAAGCCTGCGCCTTTGTTGACTTTTCATTAGAAGATGTGTAAGCTCCAGGAAAGTATCAAAAATATTTTGTGGTTCTGACATCATAACCTTTAAACACTGGGCTTTACTTTGACACAGGAAACCAACTTTGACAGTGACACCCATTTACTCCATCTGAACTTCACCTCATACCTTCAAAAATCTTGTCACCTGCCTCCAGGTGCAGCAAGTTCCTGTTTAGATTTTGTTTCTCTTTGAGGCTTTGGTGTGTTTTCATTTAAAATTTACCATATCTGTAAATGTGTGACTTCATATTCATATTTTATATCCTTCATATTTTTCAGTTATGACAACTCCTCTATGAGATAGCCACACATGATTTTAGGCGTGTAGTTCACATGTAGTGAGTAGCGCCTGCTTTAGCAGCGGTGTGATCTGACCCATGCGTACTCGCTTAATGTCTCCTGAGTCATCATCAGCAAGCAGACGGGAGTCAACGCTGCTTTGAGGTTCTCTAATAATATTTTAGATAAAATGATGGAGCAGTTTTAGTTTGCTTTTTATTTAAGATAAAGAAATTAATCTACACATTGATAAACTAGTTAACTGTAATCTAATTTTTTATTTTGCTGACCCCATTTTTTAGCACCTGTGTAGCAACAGTTCATATCCTCGTGTCTTTTACGTGAAAACACAACACACAGAAGTAATTAGTCCTCCCCCTGAGATGCAGGTTGTTTTCATGGCCTGATTTGTCTCCTGCCCTCTTTTCTTTACCTCCTCCTGGCCACAGCTGGCCCCTTTCTGTCTCACTTTCTTCTTCAGGCAATTAGAGGGACAAAAACGATTATATTTATCTTGGATCAAACCCATTTCTGTGTGAAAATTTGTTTTATCTAAGTTTATTTCCGCTCTCTGTCATGCTCTTGTAGCAATGATTGATGCTGGAAAGGAAAAATTCTCCAATTTGCCTTAATTTCTATACATCTTCTTGTTCATCTCATGATAAGTAAACTGTACTAACACTTGGATGGATGACTTTGCCTTGGTCAGCTAAAATCTCAAGTAGCAGTAGCATGTAATCTGAGGAGAAGATGGATAGCACAGAGGTAAAGCGGCAGAGTGGCTCTGGAGAAGAGAAGCCGAGCCTCGGGCCGACTCTACCTTCAATACTTCATCATGCCTGATGGCCCCCTCCCACCTCACCTCTGTGTCAGCCTGATAAATGAATCAACATTTAGCAACCTCATGAGCTGTGAAATGTCAATAAAGTGAAATATAAACCTCACAAACTACCGATCAATACCCATCAACAAATTGGTCTGCTTTTTATCTGGGCTACTACATGATTACTCACCCCAGATTGTGTCAATTCGCCAGATTAATACCTTTTGATCCCTGCTCCCGTCATCACCACTGTTGCATAAACGGAGGCATACATACTCCATCTAATCTTCTCAGACAACCATCTGTGGGGTGAAACGCCAAACTGTTGTATAAACATGTGTAGGTGTCGGGAAAATGTGTGTATTATGAAGAAAATTATTATACAGCCTCTGGGAAAAGAAGGTTCTCAGGTTTTGTTTCTTTTTCAGCCAGCTGGAGGGTTGCCAATTTTTCTCCTTTCCAAATGGCCAAAGAGGGACTTAGTCTTTGTTTACAACCTGTGAGCTTGCAGGGTTGCAGAGTCTGCGCTGGCAAATTGGCATTTGTAACCCGACACCAGCCAGCAATCATCATCATCATCATCATCACCTTTATTTATAAAAGCACCTTAAAGACATTTATCATGTCACCAAGGTGCTGCACAAGACTAAACTAAAAAGATAAAAACAAAGAATATATAGGAGCCCAATAAAAAAATTAAAAACAGCAACATACAAAACATGAGTTAACACACAGATTTAACAGCCAGATTATAATAATGGGTCTTCAGCGCCTTCTTAAAAACCTCTACTGACATGGAGAGTCGCACAGATAATGGAAGATCATTCCATAATTTTGGGCCTGCTACCGAAAAAGCCCCGTCTCCTCTTGTTTTGAGTCTAGTTGCGAGGACTAGAAGCACATGGTGACTCTCTGAGCGGAGCGAACGACTAGGTATATATGGCTGTAGCAAGTCAGATAAATATTCTGGTGCCATCCCATTCAAACCAAGCCTTAAAAACCAATAAAATAATTTTTAAACGCACTCTAAAAACGACCGGTAACCAGTGCAGATCTGCCAGGATGGGTGTCACATGATCATATTTCCTTTTCCCTTCTAGGAATCTTGCCGCGGCGTTATGCACAAGCTGCAGACGAGCTACTGTACTCTGTCTCACCCCAATTAAGACAGAGTTACAGTGGTCTAAACGAGAGGTGAGAAACGCATGCACAACAGTCTCGAGGTCCTTTCTAGTTAAAAATGACTTCACTTTGGCCAGACGTCGCAAGTGGTAAAAAGAGGACGATACAACCGCACCCACATGTGCGTCAACGGTGAAAGCGTTATCTAATGTCACTCCTAAGTTGACCGCCGAAGAACGTAGGTAGGCATTCATATCCCTACAATCTAGTTTTGATTGCTCTAAATCACGATGTAACCCAAACAGCACTGCCTCAGTTTTGCTTTCATTCAGACATAAAAAAATTGTCCGTCAACCATGACTTAACTTCAGTTAGTGCATTAAGGTAATAATGGGACAGTCGCTTCTATAATCCGAGGGTAAGTAAAGTTGGCAATCGTCAGCATACATATGAAATCGAATTCCATACTTCCTCATGATGTCCCCCAGTGGCAAAATGTAAATCAAAAACATCAGTGGTCCTAATATTGAACCCTGTGGGACCCCCCACTGCAGTTGTGTGAATCCAGAACTAAACCCACCCATCCTTACACTTACAGTCCTATCCTTCAAATAAGATCTGAACCAGTCTAAGGCCAGACCAGAGATTCCGACATTATACTCTAAACGATGGAGCAACACTTCATGGTCCGCAGTGTCGAACGCAGCTGTAAGGTCCAACCAAACAAGTAGCACAGGATTTCCCCTATCAGTTTCCAACATAATGTCATTTAATACCTTTATCAGTGCCGTTTCCGTACTATGAAAAGCTTTAAAGCCAGACTGAAAAGTTTCCTTAATGTTGGACTCTTCTAGGAAATCCATTAACTGAGTATAGACACATTTTTCCAGAATTTTACTCAGAAAAGGGAGCTTTGCAACCGGCCGGTAGTTGCAAGGCTGCATACCATCTAACCCCGATCTCTTTAACAGTGGGTTAGTAACCGTCTAGCAATACACAGCAGAGTGTTGTAAAGATTCTAAGCCAGTAAGCGAACCAGAAGTTGTTTTTGTGCCACATCTTTTTGCAGTACCCAAATTTAATCACAGGCCGTCACTCCTCCTTCATATATGGGGCGACGGTGGCACAGGAGTTAAGTGCTCGCCCCGTAATCGGAAGGTTGCAGGTTCGAGCCCCGCTCAGTTTGTCGCTGTCGTTGTGTCCTTGGGCAAGACACTTAACCCACGTTGCCTGCTGGTGGTGGTCGGAGGGACTGGTGGTGCCAGTGCTCGGCAGCCTCGCCTCTGTCAGTGCGCCCCAGGGCAGCTGTGGCTACATCGTAGCTCATCACCACCAGTGTGTGAATGGGTGAATGACTGATTGTGTTGTAAAGCGCCTTGGGGGTTTTCAAGAACTCTAGAAGGTGCTATATCAAATACAGGCCATTTACCATTTTACCATTTATATAATGTCTGGTACTCAATATAACCCAACCAAGAACACGTTTTAACCAATTTTATTATGAATGTGGAACCGGTGGATGCCACAAACTGGTCATACAAACATTCATGATTAACATTTTCATGATCTACATCTGCTCGTCTTCTGAACACCGAAACCTCAAACACTTCAAAGGAGATTTTAGGGTGTTTTTCTCCACCACTCATCTAATGGCAAAAACTGTTTAACTGGCTAAGACGAGGGGATAAGGCAGGTCAGGGTCAGACACACTCCATCTTATCAGAAACTGTCATTCTAGAATAGAGCCTGAAGTGAGAGTTGACATCTGTGAAAATGTGGGTTTATGGCTAATGTTGTCATCATGGACTTTCCTACAGTTCATCAGCTCCCACCTCCCTGTGGTCATGAGAACGGAGGAGATTTTCTATCTGATGGCATCATTAAGGATATGGATTTAAAGGGAAACTTTAAACCTTTTTCATATTTTTAAATAATTTTCTTGAGCCTTTATGTGCTAAAATTACCCTTTACAGGGTTAATGAAAAGTCACTCAAACCCCCTCCGCCCTCTGTGGCCAGAATATGGCACTTGAAACTTCAGAGTGCCAGTCCGGTCTTACTTAACTGTCGCTGTAGTCTGCTTCCAGCACATTTCCTGCATGTTTTAGATCATGGGCATGGTTGATTTGTTTAATTTAGTGATCAATCACTCCTGTAGGCACTAAGGAAGGCTGGGGAGAGATTCAGATTAAGGTGTAAAAATGATGAACACACAGCGAGGAGAAAAGTTTTGCTTTTGGTTCTACTAAATGGAAACTAGGGGGTGCTAAAACAAGCCAAAACTGTCTAAAGCATGAAGAATGTCCACTGCTGGGGAGTGCATGCTCTCAGTGTGTTTGCTAAGTGGAATGCTGTCTCCTCCACACATGAGCTCAGATAGAGGATAACACAGATTTTCCTCCTGCACACTGTGAGGTAAAGAGACGATGGGGGTGGGGGGGCTGCAGGATTCGGTCTTATCTCGTCCTCTACGTTCAATCCTTCACAGCATGATGGATAAATTACCAGAGAGAAGGACAAACATGTTTTTCTATATCTGTCCTCCTTCAGCAGCTACACACACACACACACACACAGACACACACACACACACACACACACACACACACACACACACAAATGAATGAGCAAATAGGGTTCTGTGTAATTTGTTGGTCTGTGATTGTAACCAGCAGAAGTGTGATTTGACCCCGGCATATAAGCTGCTTATCCATTTACCATGCTTGTTTTGTGCTTCACGCTTCTGACTGTCAATTAAATTTTATATTCTGTGACCAAGTGTTGCCGTTTGGCCCAAATCTTCTATTTATTTGCAGGCTGGAATCACAGAGGACTGCACAGGAGGAGAAGAGAAGATGCATTATTATCTGTGTTTAACATTGCATCATTCCTTTTTGCTTTGATTTTAAAGACATTTTCTAATCTGGCTTGATGTTTAATTTAAATCTTAAAAAACAACATGAAAAACACTTTAAAATTCTGGGAGCCCAGAACCAGAAAACATAAGAGCACACTCACACACACACACACACACACACACACACACACACACACACATACACAGAGCTATCTAAATGTAAATCATGTATTTCTCACCTTCTGGGAAAACTTCTCAGACGTCTTCTGGATGTGGTTTTACAGAACCATCTGGTGGGTGGAAGAGCGTCGTGGTGCAGCCTGTTAATATTTGTTGGTGTTTTGTGTGTGTGTGTGTGTGTGTGTGTGTGTGTGTGTGTAGGTGTGTGTGTGTGTGTGTGTGTGTGTGTGTGTGTGTGTGTGTGTGTGTGTGTGTGTGTGTGTGTGTGTGTGTGTGTGAGATCAAATCTCTCGTTCAATGAGACTTCTTACCTTTACTTGCAGTGACGACATGCTAACCGATACAAGCTTCCGTCACATGACCCTGTGTGTTGATTTGTTCTGTTTTTCATGTGAAGTTCTTGGTGGATCTAGAGTCCAACCCCTTCCTCCGTGACAGTGTGGAGTGTCAGCGACTCCTGATGGAGGGGATGAAATATCATCTTCTACCCCAGCGGCGTCCTCTGCTTCAGAGTCCTCGCACCCGGCCCCGCAAGGCCACAGTAGGGGCCATGTTTGCTGTGGGGGGTATGGACGCCTCAAAAGGTAGAACAGATACTCAGAAATTGTTTAAAAATGCATTGTTATGATTTGGCCTGTGATTTCATGACCATGTCTGTGAATATATTTATTTGTTGATCTTATTGTTTGTTTTTTCAGCATTTACTTTATTGTGTTGCAATGTATTTCATGGGAAGCACTTTTGGCAGCTCTCATGCGGTGTGTGTATACATGCTATTCAAATAAACTGGTATGGTAAATAACAGCACGTGATGGCATGTGGTTACCACACATCAGCCCGAAACTGTGCATTCTGTCTTCATTGGATGTTTGTCCATAGTTGACTTACTTTTGGAGTCTGCCCAATTCAAGATGGCTGCCAATGCCACAGCACACAAAACAACTATAAATCAGACATTGAGCTGGGTCATTAAACTTGTTTGAAATTGTTCATAAATAGTGAGCGAGATTAATAAAATCTGTTTTTTAAAACATAAGCAGCTTAAGTGAAGGCAGACATGTGAATCAGGTGGGCTGTTTGCACCAGCTTCTCTTTCATACCCACCTAACCTGAGCTATAACTGGCTGGTTCTATTCCTGCTACCCTATAAAACACACAGAGACCTTGAACACATGTAGAAAACAGAAACATCATGATCACGGTGTGTTGGTTTCTTTGTTTCCAGGAGCCACAAGTATCGAGCAATATTGTCTGCGTCGGGACGCGTGGAAGCAGGTCGCCACCATGAGCGGACGGAGACTACAGTTTGGTGTTGCCGTCCTTGACGATCGTCTTTATGTGGTCGGAGGCAGAGATGGACTCAAGACACTCAACACTGTGGAGTGTTATAATCCACACAACAAAACATGGAGCGTCATGCCTCCCATGTCCACACACCGGCACGGCTTAGGTTAGCACCTGTTTTATGTTTGTGTTACAAACCCACAGCCCAAGCTGGAAACACTTGTTTGTTTGTTTTTTGTATATGATTTATTTATAACTTGTTTCACAGTCACATCATATCCACATACCTACACACCAAAATAAAATAAAGAAAGAAAATTAAATTAAATTAAAATAAAACATTTATGTGCTGCAGTAACAAATAGGCAACCAAAGTGTGGCTATGCCGGCGATAGCTCTACAAGGCCAAGGTTAAGTGTCCATGTCGAGTGTCACAGAGATCACATGGTCTTGGAACGGCCTCCAAATTTTGGCAGTTTCCGAGCCCCTCTGGATGAACCTTATTTTCTCTAGTTTCATAGAATAGAGGGCATTTTTAATCCAGCGGGAGTGGGTCAGTGGGTGAGGTTCCAGTGAATCCTATGCACTACCTTACATTGAAGTATGCAGTGCCTTGCACAAACTGAGGAGGAGTGAATACGCCTTGGGGCCTATTCCCATTGGCTGTTATTAATCTCCGTGTTAAGTTCCTCGGACCAAGCAACACGGAGGTGATCAGATCGCGCCACAAACATGGAGAGAAGAAAATTATAGTTTGGATATCGCTCCTTTCTGGGAGGGTTTAATCTCCATCATATCATCTAGCATAGTGTTCACAGGTACAATGGGAAAACCCATAAAATATTTTCTGATAAAGTCCCTGGCCCGCAGATACCGGAAAAAATGTGAATTTGGCAGGTGATATTTAAGCGACAGCTGTGTAAATGAGGCCAAAACGCCATCCACAAAAAAGTCCTTCACATGGATCAGCCCATGGCTCCTCCATACCACAAAAGTTTTATCTAACAGGGATGGAGGAAAAAGCGGATTCTGGTCAAACGGTGAGTGACTGGGTTTTAATATGACACCTCATTTGAGACCAAATCTTAAGACAGTTTTTAACTATAGTATTGCTAGTGTACAAATGCGGGCTAACGTTTGAAGGGAGACACAGGAAAGAGAGCAAAGAGGCAGAGGCAGATGTGGCCTCCTCCAGTCGCAGCCAAATTGGCTCTGTAGATTTGGTGTGACACCAAAATAACATTGTGCGAATATTAACAGCCCAATAATAGTACTGAAAATTTGGAAGGGCAAGGCCCCCCAGGTCCTTACTTTTTTGTAGAAGGCTCTTGCGCATTCTAGGAGGTTCTTTGTTCCATAAGAACTGCGAAATAGAACTGTCAAGAGTCTGAAAAAAACTTTTTGGAATGAACACCGGGATGCATTGAAAGAGATACAGGCATCTTGGCAAGAAGTTCATTTTAATGCAGCTATCCCTTCCTGCTAAAGAAAGAGGCAGCATAGACCAGTGCTGCAAATCCTGAGCCAACTGCTCCAACAGAGGGTCAAAGTTAGTTTTAAAAAGTTTTGAGAAGTCCTTGGTTACATGGATACCCAAATATTTAAAACTTTGCGGGACAGCCTTAAAGGGCAGACTAGAAAGTGGGTATGCCGTCGCAGCTGAGTTAATCGGAAGGATTTCACTTTTATCAAAGTTAAGCTTGTATCCGGATATCTGTCCAAAGTCCCTCAGCAAAGGTAGAATTGGAGACATGGAGTTATCTGGGTCCGACATAAAGATCAATAGATCATACGCATACAACGACACTCTGTTGTCACAGCCGCCACGTTGAATGCCTTGCATGGCACTCGCCCTAAGGGCTGCCGCCAATGGTTCTATCGCTATTACAAACAAAGATGGAGAGAGGGCACCCCGGCGAGTCCCGCGACCTAGGGGGAAAGGCTTTGAGAAATAATTATTCGTACGAACTTGTGCCAATGGTGAAGTATACAATAGTTTAATACAAGAGATAAGAGTGGGACCAAAACATTTTAGAGTATAAAATAAATAGGGCCACTCCACCCGGTCGAAAGCCTTTTCAGCATCCATAGATATGACCAGTTCCGGAGTGTCAGATGATGAAGAGGAATACAGAATATTAAGTAAGCGCCTCACATTATGGTATGGATGTCTGGTCCTGACGAAAACTGTTTGTTCTGGATTTAATTGAAGGTATTTTCCAATTCCAAACGTCTCGCCAACATTTTGGCCCAGATTTTAACATCTGCACACAGTAAAGAAATAGGGTGGTAGTTACTACAGAAGCGAGGGTCCTTACCTTTAAGGAAATTGTAGCTTGTCGTAGGGTAAGCGGTAGGATTCCAGATTCAGCTGCCTCTTTAAAAATGGCAAGCATGAGGGGGGATAATTTGTCAATAAAAGCCTTATAAAATTCCGACGGAAAACCATCGGGCCCTGGACACCTTCCACTTTGCGTGGACATAATTGCAGTTTTAATTTCACCTGCAGTAAATGGTTTATCTAGGTGCACCGCAATATCTGGTGCAACTGTCCGGATCATCAGTCCATTGAAAAAGTCATCCAAATGTGTGTCACCAGGCAAATTTTCAGACGTATAAAGAGACGAATAAAAGTCCCTAAATCGATCATTAATTTTCTGGGGGTCGGCGGAAAACCCATCAATTCCAGAGATCTTCGAGATACACTGCCCAGTAGAGGACTGGCGGATCCAGTGGGCGAGGACTTTAGTTGGCTTATCCCCAAACTCGTAATAACTATGCTTGGTCCTGGTGATTAACTGGACAGCCTCATCAGTGGCCATAGAATCGAATTCAGAGTTCTTTATTAAAAGCTCTTTCACCAGATCAGCCGATGGGGACTCTTCACACTTAATTTGCAGCTCTGATATAGTGTCGTAAAGAGCCTGCCTCCTCCGGGAGACCATCTTATTTTTATAAGCAGTGTACGCTATTATCTAACCCCCTTAAGAAGGCTTTACAAGCTTCCCATATCGTTGCTGCCATCACATCTGGGGTTACATTGGTAGAGATATAAAAATCATTACTCTGATTTATATATTCAACAAAGTCTGAATCATTGAGTAGCGAAGAATTGAAACGCCAGGAGGAACGCATTATTGGAGTATCCGGAAATGATATGTCCAAAATAACCGGAGTGTGAGCTGATATCACTATAGCGGCATAATCACAATGGTTAACTGAGGAGAGAAGTTTTTTACCAGAAAGAGGTCAATTCGTGAAAAGGTTCCATGTACATGAGAAAAGAAAGAAAAATTTTTTGTGGCAGAATTCAGATGACGCCAGACATCCAGAACTCCATATTGCTGCATAAATATTTGTATTGCTTTTGCTGATTTAGATTTAGGACTTGGGTTAACTGAGCTGCGATCCGATGCTGGGTTAAGACAACAGTTAAAATCACCGCCCTTGATAAACTGGCCACTGTTCAAATTGGGAAGTGAGAAGAAAAGTTTCTTAAAAAAGTCTTCATTATCCCAATTCAGTCCATACACATTAGCTAGAACTACTTTATTTCTTCCTATTTTACCCACAACAATAACATAACGCCCATTGGGGTCTGACACCACCTCCGTGACTGCTAGAGGGATATTTTTGTGGGTTAAGATGGCTACTCCTCGTGCCTTTCCACTAAATGAAGAGTGGAAAGTTTGCCCCCCACCCCCACCCACCCACAACGCAGTTTTAGGTGATCTGTCCGTTTTAAGTGAGTTTCTTGTATAAATGCAATTCTGGTATTTAAAATTTTTAGGTGATTGACAACCTTTCTCCATTTCACAGGAGAATTTAACCCTTTAACATTCCAGCTAACAAATCCTAATGTGCCGCTGTGTGTGGATGAATCATTAGAACTCAGCATGACCGTTCATGAAATAAACAGCCCTCATACAAAAGTACAAATAGCAAATAAGTAAAACGCTCCACAAAAGCCACAGGTACACAAACGCAGCACATAAAAACGGAAGAGAAGAGAAAATAAAATAAAAAATGAGAATATAATAGTTGTTGCAAAAGACAACATATTGTAATTCTTCCTTTCCATATAGCTCTCCTGCTCCCGCCGGGTCATTTAACAATAAACCGATCAGCAGAGTTCTGTGCATGTCCGTTTCAACCTGGTAGGAAGCTTAGTGTTCATATATAAGTTGGCACGCACAGCCAATGCAGTCAAACAATGGCGAACCCAAACATGGAGGGGCTAAGAGTGAAAATTAAATTACCCTGGAACGGCTAGGTGGTCTCAGCCGGTTCCTTGATGAATTTCTCCGCCGCTAAGGCAGACGGAAGCCATTTCTTGTCTCCATTAGGAAGGGTGGCTGGCTTCCCAGCCTGGCTGGAAAAAGCAGCGTTGGGCGATATCCGCGTTGGTACAGCTCCGCCATGGGGTCTCGGTATTCGCTTCACTGCTTCACTAAATCCGGACTGTAGTCCTCATAGATGCAGATCGAATGGCCCTTGTAGGAAAGATCCCCCCCTCCGACAAGCTTCACAGATGATCACGTCTTTGACTTGGTAGCGGTGGAGGCAGAGGAGGACAGGACGGGGTCTCCCACCAAGGGGAGGCTTGGGAGCCGCGGTGCGGTTAGCGCGATCTATCTCCGGCGGCGATGAGAATGTACCCCCGCCGAAGACCTCCACCAGGAGCTCAAAGTAGAACACCGTTGGACGAGGGCCGCCAAAGTTCTCCGGTAAGCCCACAATTCGGACATTATGACGCCTGTTGTGTCCCTCGAGATCTGCCAGTTTTTCCTTCATTAAATTATTCTCCTTCTGCATCGTGTAGTACTTATCCTCCAGCTCCGTGAGTTGTTGGTCAGATATAGTTGCGTTTTCATCCAGCGAGGGCAATGCGGGCCGAGTGGTCATCTATTGCAGCTTTAATACAATCTAGTTTTGGAGTTAGGGAGTGGAACAACAATTTAAACTCTGCCGCGAGTTCCTCTTTATGCTGAGCCAGCAGCGTGATGAAATCCTCTAGCGTCGGGCTAGCGTTAGCAGAAGAGGTCAACGCCGCTGCTTGCTTTTCAGCTTGTTTCCCTTTGAACTTCGACATAGCCACCACTAAGTTACAAAAATGTGTTTTCAAATCCAAAGAGGCTAAAACGGTGCAAGTAATACTATGTAGAGTGCCGAAACAGGGTAGAATAGTTACGCCAATGCGGGAGCAGACTTAGCGTGCAACTACTCTGCTTGCCCCATAACCCCGAAGTCGTCATGCCTCCCATGTCCACACACCGGCACGGCTTAGGTTAGCACCTGTTTTATGTTTGTGTTACAAACCCAAGCTGGAAACACTTCTGCCTCAAACCTTCCTTTGGTTTGCTTTGATCTTTACTAGAAAAAAGATGATTTCTAAAACAATCGAGTGGCGTGATCCTCATCACATCAATGATTTCAGTAGAGCGCTCGGCTGCTTCTGTGTGGAGGAAAGAAGCGATCCAGTTTCACATCTGGCAGCACAGATGTTCAGGCAGATACATCCCTTCTGTGTGGAGGTGTCAGCATGCTGCACTGCTAATGGTTTTAGTTACACTCACCATGACTGTTGTAGCGGTATGTGCTTCTAGAGATCCCATCGGCTGTGTTGAAAAGTGACCCTGATTTAAACAAACCTGGATGTTGTTGCAGGTGTGGCCGTCCTAGAGGGACCCATGTATGCAGTGGGAGGACATGATGGCTGGAGCTACCTCAGTACGGTGGAAAGGTGTGAGGATGCTTCTGACTGGTCATACTAAATAAATGATTTAACTCGAGGTTCTGTGGGAGGGTCATGAACCTGCACTAGAAAGCTTTGTAAACAACCTCAATTTGGACAAATTTGTTCTCTCCAGGTTGATAAGCTAAAGGCTAGTCACAGTGAGTTCAGCCATTAAGTAGATTTTTGCTATTTTAAAACCGGCTGCTCCACCCTGCAGCTCCGTCACTTTTCATCAATCAGATTTGCATTACTTGAGGATTTGGGCAATCTTATAAATGTAATGCACTACTATGAGGTACTATCTGCTAAGTAACCACAGAATTGTATGTGAGTGTATGAAGTGATGTGACCCCAGTGCTAACAGGTATTAAATGGTGTTTGCATAAACCAATGGTTGGGTTGCTTTAAGATGGCAACAATCGTCTCTGTGACTAGCCGTTAGCTTGTCAGTCCAGTCAAAACTAATCTCTTCTCCAGAATGAAGAAAAATGTAAAACAGTAAGATCATAATTATCAATATTTCCACTAGAACTTGTGTTTACTGATCTAACATCCTTCTGAGGGTGCATTTAACCCAAATAAGTCCTGTTTTCTTACTAAACTGTGTTAAAAAGACCTGTATGACCTGTAGATGGTTTTGGTTCAGGTTGACCTGTAATATTTGTGTCTGAGATCATCTTCTTCATCCATAAACTAACACAAAAACAGTTTTCCTGGTTGATAGTACACCGGGGGCTTTTAACCAGATCTGTTCATAGCTGTTGGAGGAGAGATTTGTCCTGTTGTGACATAAAAATCCGAACTCTGTTTTTAAGGTGGGACCCCCATGCTCGCCAGTGGAGCTTTGTAGCGAGCATGGCTACACCCAGAAGCACAGTGGGTGTAGCTGTCCTCAACAGGAAGTAAGTAACGTTTATTAAAGTTCACATTTGTGTTTAGATCCTCTTTGGGTTCCTGTTCTGTTCTGTTCAAAGAGCAAATCCCCCAGGAGCTAATCAGGAACGGCAGATACATCCTTTATGACAAAAATAGTAAAATATTGTTTTAAACAGTGTACCCTCTGAGGAGTATTGTGCTGCAGGGCTCTGATCGGACCGATAGTCTCAGGTTGGTGAGGAGAATTGGTCTTTCCTAAGAATGTACAATCACAGCTGCCAGCTCTCCGCGGCAGCCTCCTGCTGTGGCTGCAAATCCAAGTTCATCATTTTACAAACTCAACTGATTCTGGACGACACAAACACTGAAGCGCCTCGTAGGTTGTTTGCTACTGTACTTAGCCATTAGCCATACGCTAATTAAAGCTCCTCTTACGGTTTGGAGTCCATCTGGCCAGAGCTCTACTCTCTCTGCTTGTTTGGAAGAAGGAGATGAGGACTTCACACACACGCGCACACACACACACCCTGTTACAAACCAGCTCACATATCCAACAGTACGAAACACACGTACTTTATAATTAAGACTTAAGAACAACAGGTCTGACAGTAACACAGCTGTAGTAACCTGTGTTGTTTTCATTATTCTGTGCCTCTGAGAGAGAAAAGCTTTAGAGATGCTAATTAAAACAGAAACAACTGATTTGTGCCAACCATACCCAGGAGGTGTGTGTGTGTGTGTGTGTGTGCGTGTGTGCGTGCGTTTGTGTGTGTGTGTGTGTGTGTGTTTATTCTCCAGTCTCTCTCTGATGGAGCTCATTACTTGCCTGACCGCTTATTATGCCCTTTATTTTTAACTTTCCAAATTCACATTCACAAATTCTTGTTTTCACACACACACACACACACACACACACACACACACACACACATACAAGCATTCAAGATGCTTATCCACGAGGATTTCCAGTGTCTTCTATCTTCCTCAGGTTGTATGCTGTAGGAGGTCGTGACGGCTCATCCTGCCTGCGCTCGGTGGAGTGCTTCGACCCCCACACAAACAGGTCAGCGGCTGGGGGGATTCTTTCATCTGGCAAGAATTAATTGCCCTCCCCTGGTTTACTTCCTGTCTGCTGTTTCCACTAGTGAAGCACCTCTTTGTCTGAGGTTATGAGAAGATGGCGTAATCCTGTCAGGATGTTAGAAGAGACCATTGCTGTCTGCTGGAGCTTCTGTTAAGTGGCTTGTAATGGATTTCATGGTTTTTCTTCCCATTTCCCTCCTGATTTATAGATGGGCTAGTTGTGCTCCCATGGCAAAAAGGCGAGGAGGTGTGGGCGTGGCCACGTGGCATGGCTTCCTGTACGCCATCGGGGGTCATGATGCTCCGGCGTCCTCTCTGGCATCTCGGCTAAGTGACTGTGTGGAAAGGTGAGGCTGCATTTATCTCAGGAGGATTTTTAGTTTTATTTTATTGCAAAGAAAATTATAAAAATGATATGAAATGATTTACATTTGACTTTTCCTGAAACTTTCTCTTTGTCTGTGAGGAAAATAAAATACAGAAAATAAAGTTCAGAATATGGTAAACGGCCTGTATTTGTAAAGCACCTTCTTAGGGTTCTGCAGCCCCCCCACCTTGCAACACAGTCAGTCATTCACCCATTCACACATTGGTGGGGATGAGCTACCATGTAGCCACAGCTGTCCGGTGGCACACTGACAGAAACAAGGCCTACCGGACGCAGGCGCCACCAGTCCGTCCACCCGTCCCTCCACCCACCACCAGCAGGCAAGGTGGGTTAAGTGTCTTGCCCAAGGACACAACAGCATTCTCAGTTCGAGCTGGGATCGAACCTGCAACCTTCCGATTACTGGACAACCCATCTACCTCCAGAGCTACTGCTGTCTATCTTAAGATCAAAATACAAACAAGAATATTTCAAGGCTGCTCAAATCGAGCTTTAAGCGACTCTTGTTCTTAATTTTAGGGTTAGGTTTGTGTTCAGGTGTGTCCAAAGGGTTAGGGTTAATGTAGATCAGCACTTTATGCATATTTTTTGTTCAGATTTTTGCTATAATGCCAATTTTGGTCTTACTTTAAGGAGTGCAAATTTAAATAATTACCATGAAATAACTTTTGCATCGTTTAAATAAAAATGATCGTTTTTGCCTGTCAGGACAGCAGAGACGAGGAGTGATGTGCTCGGTTCTGTTGGCTCTTGTTACGACTCTAGCAGCAGTCTGAATAAGCTGCCGTTGCTTTACAGCTGTTTTGGGAAGACCAGTCAAAAGACCACTGCAGTAGTCCAGCCGGCTGGAGATGAATGCATAAATGAGTTTTTGTAGGTCTTGTCTGAGACCTTTGAGTCGTGCTATTTGATGAAGATGCTAAAACACTGATCCAGTTATGGCCCTAATGTGAGCAGTGAAGCTCAGGTCTGAATCAGTTGTGACACCAAGATTTCTAACCTGGGTCTTTGTCTTTATTCCTCTGGAGCCGAGTTGAACAATAACTTCCATCCCATCCTTCTTATTTCCAAAGGAAATAACTTCAGTCTTGACTTTAACTGGAGGAAGTTTGATTGCATGCAGTTCATTGACTTGCTCCAAACACAGAGTGAGTCTGGGGGACCACATTCACTAGGTGATAGATCTAGGAAGATCTGGGTGTCGTTTTTTATTTTATTTAATTTTTTACCCCATGTCCTGTCCGGCTGTAAAGCAATCAGAATCTATGTCTGAGTGCCGAAGACATGCCTTACAGTTTTATTCTCACAGGTAGAGCAGAATAGATTCAGCTATATTGTCTCGCATGTTACCGAAACGTTAAAGCCCAACGGACACGGGCACAGAAATGAGAGATAAAGGGGGAGAGGAAAGGAAGATGTGGGGGGGTCACAAAAATAAACAATAAAGGATGTACATGATACCACTTCTATATCTGCAGAAAGAGAGAGAGGAAAGGGGGACACACAAAAATACAGAAAAAGTTTGGACACCCTGATTTCTTTAATCCGTTTCATTATTGGCTTCAATTTCTAGAATAAGTGTTTCTTCAAAAATATACTTTTAGCTTTTTATTTAGTAGGGATGTAAGAAAATATCGATATGGCAATATACCTCAATATTTTATCCTGCAATATTATATCGATATTCAAAAGCCATGTATCGAATTTTTGGAAGAAATTACATGCAAACATTTGTCTTTTCTATTCTTTTGGTACAATTCAAACGCCCACCGCTAGTTGACAGAAGTATGCAATGGGGTTTGTTTCCACCTCTGAAATGTAAATCCCGCTTTTATGGTTCAGATACCTCATGGTAAACATTTTACATATCATTTTGGACTGTTTATTGAATTTTCCTACAATTATTTCAGTCTAAAAAAATCACTAATATTATCTGGCTGAATGTATACATCGTATTGTCTCCCCATATCGTGATACGTATCGTATCGCCAAAATTTCACCAATACACACCTCTACTATTTAGTCATTTTACTGCGACAAATATATTTTTCCAAAACATTGCTGCTGAGCTGAGTGAATAAGTAGTTATTAAACTGTAAATCTTATGTTTGGACTGCTATCAAACACCTGAGAGGATCAGGCGATGTTCAGGTGTTCATCTCAAAATTACTCAAATGAAAAATGTTTCTAACTAAAGTAATATGAGAAAATGAAATCACCCTTAAAACCTGCAGCAGATGAGCACAGATCTAGCAGATTCATCCAGTCACCAAACCCTGAAGTCAGTTTATTATTTTATAATATTCTACAAAAATCATCATGTTTTGTTTTTTAAAGTCTTTGGGAAAGCTATAGCAGCTAGCCTTGCTTTGTCCAAAATTAAACACATAAACTTCCTCAAGTCCCCCAAAGCTGAATGAATATTAAACATGTTTTGTTTACTAAACAAGAGAAAACACACAATTGTTTCAGGGTCTTGTCGTGTGGCTGCATCCCAGAGCACGATCAGCTGTTCTGCTCCAGATTAACTCCGGTTTAGCAAACCTCCACCATCAGTCGTCAGCGCTACACTGACCTCTCCTACATACAGCTGGTTTTTATTATTGTTGTTGTTTGTTTTCAGATATGACCCGCAGACAGATGTGTGGACCGCAGTCGCCCCTATGAGCATCAGCAGAGATGCTGTTGGTGTTTGTCTCCTTGGCGACCGTCTCTATGCTGTGGGCGGCTATGATGGACAGGTGTACCTCAGTACTGTAGAGGCTTATGACCCTCAGACGAATGAGTGGACACAGGTAGCACACACACACACACACACACACACACTGAATCCTATGTACAGATGAACAGATTTGTGCGTTTTTGCTCGCGATCCTCAGTTGTCCTGTCATGAACAACAGCTGTTGTTATTTTAGAAACATGTTTGCCCTTCCTGCAGCTTCTCTGTTTTTATTCTGACGCAGTTGTTTGTTTTCCCCGAGTTAATATTGTCCTTGGGGCTGCTAGGGGGGACTATTAAAACAGCGAGGGGGATCTCATTCAGGAGCCTATATCTCACTCCCCCTTATACCCCATCTCCTGCAAATCCTCAAAGGATTTCCAGCCAAAGTCACAGGAAGTCTGGCATTTCAGACAAGCGCACCCCGTTGAGAACATGAGAGGTGTGGGCGGATACAAAGTACAGAGGAGTGTACATGCTCTGGATAATCGGAGATGTGAGGAAGCGTGCTGAGAACAGTAGACGCATCCTGCAGGTGTTGTCAGAAACACAGACGAGCGTGCCCGTGGGTGTGTTGTCTGTCTGGACTCTTTACCATCACTTCTCCTTATCTCAGCACAAATCTGTCAGTCAGTCCATGGTGCTGATTTCTGTTCAAACTGAGGCTCGAGTCAGTGTGTGGAAGCTACACTCAGGGCTACAGTCCCACAACAAGCGCTTGTTTATATAATTATTTTTAACGAGTGTCATTACGGTCGACGGAGAGCATTTTTTAACTGTCAGAGATTCGTGCTTCTCCTCCCAACTCCATTCATAAAATTGAAGCCCAGCATTTGTCTGCCTTTCATGCAGTTTTAAACAAACGTCTAAGGATGAGAAGTGGTGACCATCAATAATGCACCATCTGTTAGAGCTAGGAGTGCGTGTTGTGAATGACTCTCATTTTCTACCACATCACTTTTAACTAAATATCTGTGACATGCACAGAGACGTGGAGTTATTTGTAGATTAGCTGATGTCCACTTTAGGACTGGGTCACACAGCACCATAAATATGCAGATTTATGACCCGTTCCTTGTCTTCCTCTTAAAGACACGCCCATCGACATACATATATGGACAATGGGTTTCCATAGACTCCAATAATAAGTTTTTGTACTAAAATGGGAGGTGGCCACCACCGCCATTTTGACCGTGTCACAGGTTCCGTCAAGCCCAGACAATTCCACAAAAGGGAAGAGAGGTGGAGCTGAGGGTGGGGCTGTAAGGCTGGGATCAACTGACCACACCCGGTCGAACTAGCTACAAGCTAACCTGAAGCTAACCCAAAGCTAACGCGGAGGTGGGAGCTAAGCTAACGGAGGTAGCAACCTAGCTACAACCGGAGTTAACTGTGCACAACACCAGAGCTTCTTAGTCAGAGATACGCCGGGCTGACCGCTGGGTAAAACCGGGTGGAACACAGAGGTCTCCCGAAAGCTGCTGAAAGCCGGCAGCTGCACAGCATGCCATGTTTGTTTACTTGTGATATTTCCTGTCTAATCATGGGATGTTTGGGTGTGAAAATGGCTTGTGTGTAGTTTTTACCATATGGACGGACATCACCTTCTGCAGAAACCTGGGACATCCATGACTTCTTTATCACTGAATGGGGTCTCTGATGTTTTGAAAAGCCCTGTTGGTTGCAGCCATGCTGTGGTTGCAGATGTAAAATCCATGATTAAGACTTTACGAGAGTTTTATTAAAATCTATTCAGTGATTCATGAGATATTTTCCTCCTGCCCCCAAAAGCAGAATCAAGTTCTTCTTTCTTCAGTTTTAGGAGTGTAGCAGCCAGGTGGTGTTGACCTTTTGCACCTTGAGCCAAAGACCTTTTATTTGTGTTGTTGCTGTACTGTTGACAGCGTCTCACGTATGTCTTTGTGGTCCAGGTCGCTCCCCTGTGCCTCGGCAGGGCCGGTGCTTGTGTGGTCGCCGTCAGACTGTGAGAACAAGAACACACACACGATGACATTCTAACTGAACATGATGCAGCTCAGAGGACGTCCACCAGGTGAAACAGATGCCTTCACCGGGGTGACGGCCGGATCAGTGGGGTCTTCAGGTGCGGGTCGGGTCGGGTCTCTGTCTGGGTTTACATCCTGGTAACTTCCACTGCAGGAAGAATCTGAAACCGCCGAAGAGGAATCAGCAGTGCTTATCTGTAGAGGACACACACACACACTCACACACACACACACACACACACACACACTATAAAACCCACAAAAATGCTCTCTTCTGGTTTCTGCTGACAGATAAGTGAGACGAGGAGATTTTTAAGACTCTCATCATTTTCAGCTCCCATCTTTCCCGAACACACTTTCATGGATGCTATTTTAACACACACCCTGTTTTTATTTGATATTTTGCTGCTGTTGGCGAGTACACCGCTGTTTTGCTTTGCCATTGCTGCCCGCTGACAGATGAAAGCAAGGCTTTTGACATAATCAGCACAGCCTCGTAAACAGCTATTCTGTATGAGGTTTTATTCCCGTCTGAAACACTTTCTGCTCCATCTGATACGTCTTCACACGTCTTTCATGTTGCATCAGCAACATCTAAAGCCTCTGCAAATGGGGGCGTGCAATTTTTTGTCATTTGTTTCCATGTGCAGTTTGACCCCCCCTCCCTACACACACACACACCAAGTGGTTGATGGTTATTATGCAGCGTTAATAGTTTTACAGCCAGAGCAATAACACCAACAGAGTGGTCCTGTGTTGATCCCTGCAGGAAGAATTTGTTTTCAATTTCCAGCCCAGAGCACAAGGTCAGCTGTTTACTGGCTCAGGATTTTAAACAGGGTCCACTCAGCTTTTCCATCTACCAGCCTCCTTGATTTTCCTCCGCTGTAGCTGCTCAGTGTGTGTGTGTACGGGTGTTGGCTGTTTGGAGATTGCCCAAGAATATATTTTTATCTCAAATGAGAATCTTCCTTCTGTTCCTCTCTCCTCCATCCTCTATTCCCTGCTGTTCCCTGACACACACACACACACACACACACACACACACACACACACACACACACACACAGCTTCATTTTAAAGCAGGATTTGATTCCCAGGCAAAAAAAAACCTAAAAGCAGACAATATAATGAGACTCTGACTGTAATGATCTCACCAGTGGCAGCGTTTTGTTTGATGTCACGTTCAAAGTGCTCAGATGTGATGCTGCTGAAGACAAAAGCATCTAACCTGAAGGAGGAGGATGAATCTGCTGGAACACACTCGTGCAGTCGTGCTGGTGGGCTGTGACAAGAAGCAGGAGCAGTACAGACACTTCCTGTAAGACACCATCAGTGTAGTTCATGTCTGATACAAAGAAGGAAATGTGATGAAATCTGAGCTAGATGCACTTTACACACACACACACACCTGACAGCTGAAGAGTCCCAGTAGCCAGCAGAGATTGAAAGACCACCCTAATTTGCCAGCAGGAGGTCTAAAAAGCTGCCGAGGTCAGATCAGGATGTTAACCAAACGCATGGCTGCATTACCCCATCTTTCTCCCCTTCCAACCTGCTGGTTATTTACAGGAATTCTCTTCAGATCCCACAAGCGTGTCCTCTCCGCCATGTTGTCATGTTGTTTTAGGCTGAGGTGAACAGATAAAAACATTCCAAACGGGGTTCTCTGTAGACTGTATATTATGTAAAGGAGTAAATCTGTTGTTGCGTTCTGTTGTGTGTAATTCACACTAAACCTTCCGTGTAGTGTGTTTGCTTTTGTACCATGAATACAGATGAAGTGTAAATAAAGACTCGCTGCTACGGCTGCTCGTCGTGTCCTCTTTCTACTCTAGACGTCACGTATAAAACAAAATCTGAAAAGTTTGAGCCGCCGCTCTGTGTGATTTAAAAGTTGTTTTCCTGTGTCTTCCAGAGGCACCGATCTGGTTTATGGTGCAGATGTTTCTGCAGGCCGTCTGCATTTTTCACCATCACTATAAATGTCATGGCGCTGTAAATTAGTTTGTTTCTACGTGGCAGTTGGACTCCGGCGATGGCCTTTTCAGCCGAGCTGCTGGAGTGCAGCTCTGCATTAATTTTCTGTGCCCAAAGCTTAATGAACCCGTTACTGAACTCAGCTGCTGCAGCCAAATCAGAGGCAGCAAGTGTGTGTGTGTGTGTGTGCGTGCGCTCACAATTTATAGGTACTTTAACCCTGACACAGCCAATGGAGTCCCGGTTTTATTTATTGCAGGAGAAGGTTTAAATCATAAGCGGTTTTGACAAATGGCTCCCTCTGGTGTTGAGAAATTATGCCGGTGACCTTGTCTCTCAGCCTTAACAGCACCTGATTCACTTATGTGTGACAGAAACAAGAAGGAGGTATAAAACAGTGGTGTTGGAGTGTTCTACACCCAGATGAGCAAGCATCCTGCAGATGTCACATGCAGCTGCATATCTTACAACTGCTGCACTAATTATTCAGGTTCTGATCCAACACGTCTACAAAAAACCCAAATCTGGTGATTATACTCGAGCTCCTCGTCTATAAAAGCAATTGGTGTGTCACAAATTTGTATTTTATGACTTAATATTTCATCTTTAATCTGTTTTCCTATAATGGGCTGCACACTGAATGTAGGTGAGTGCTTGTGTGTGAATGCAACATCTGGATCATGATTAGACGAGCTGATGAATCTGATACAAACAGCTGCAGGAGGGACGGTGTTCCTGCATACAGCAGCAGATATGTCTCCTACCAGAAACCACGCTGCACACTCAGGATGGAGAAAGGCATGATGTTACGCTGTGATTATTATGGTCTATCAATGCATGCCAGAGCAGAAGGAGCTCAGCTGTCTTTGATTAGACTTCTGGTTAATTACACCTCAGGTAAGTCTCATTTGTGTTGCCCTGTCTGGATGTTCTTCAGTCGTTTCCTCTTCATTAGGAGCGGAGATCGCTGGGAGCAGGTTCAGCACCTTCTGACCTCTGAAGAGGTCACCGGGGTCATATGAGCAGATTCATCTGGTCAGAGAAAATTTCATTTACAGCATAAAAATGACAAAAACTGTGGATCCAAACTTGTTAAAACAACCATTTGTGTTTTTTTTTTTTTTAATTTTGATTGTGGCTTTTATTTATTTTTTCCACCTGCTATTAAAAGCAAAAGGTAGATCATAATATTTTTGCCCAACTGTGTCTAAACGCTTCTATAAATGGTTTACGGAAAATAACTCATGGTTTTTTTAAACTACTGTACCTAGACTTGAGCAGATTCAAAACATTCAAGGGGAACTCGGCAGTTTAGGCTTGCTTTTAGCACCCTTAGTGTCCGTTAGGTTTTGCTTTTGGTTCTACTATCTTCTTGCTGTGCGTTTGTCTTTTTAACAACTTAAAGGGATACTTTGCAACTTTTTCATATTTCCAAGTCATTTTCTTGAGCCAGTATATGCTAATGACCCTTTACAGGGTTAAAGAAAGCCCCTCCAGCCCCTATCGCCCACAAAGTAATACCAGATTCAACCAAATCTCTAAATCCTCCACAGGACAGCTTCAGAAATTTGCAAAATTCAGACAGATCCAGACTTCATTCTAGATGATCAAGATGCAGATCCAGATAAGAAAAAAAAACTAATTATGACCTATTTTCTTCTGCAGCTACAGAAAAAGGAGGTTGGGCCCCCGCAGCACAGTTTAACGGTGTCAGCTGAATTAATCATGCTTTCTTTTGTGCTAGTCTGCAAGCCTCTACTCATTTGGGATTTATCTTCTTGCCAGCAGAAACAAGTGTTTTTAATATATTTGCTCTTTGGTCTATTTTTATCTGTTTGCTTTAAAATTCATTCAGCTGCTCCCTTCTATGCCTCTTAATGAGATCTGAGTCAGCAGGGCGTTTTCTGCTGTGGCACACGAAGGAGTTTTGGTGTCACACGGCTGTTTTCTCATCAGATGCCCCCCAGGATGTGGGGAGGAGTAAGCGGTCATCAGCTCATGAGAGCGTGGATGATCTCATTAAGGTCAATGACACTAAAGATCAGTTTACAATGTTGAGTTTTTAGATGAACTACAGTGAAGGTGTCTTAATTTACACTTAAAGGGTGGCAGAAGTGGCAGATCTAGGATTTTTCTGAGTATGGCGCCATCTACAGGCCACAATACTTCAGAGGAATCAGAATCAGAATCAGAAAACTTTATTGGTCCCCATGGGGCAATTAATTTGTAGCTTACCACACAGAATAACTCGCTCATAAAAACAACCAAGCCAACAATCCATTTATACAATCACACAATCACACAATGTGTGTCACTACCAACATGCCGAACACATCCTAAATGAAGGGTAGAGGATGAGCAGCAGCCCTCCAAAAATGGCACATGCTTAAAGCCGATGATACTTCGCTGTTATTTCGCCACCCCTCCCGGCTCAGAGTTAAGCAGTTCAATAGCTGATGGAACAAAGGAGTTGGCAAAGCGGTTTGTTTTTCGAGAAGGTACATAATAACGACGTCCTGAGGGCATAAGAGAGAACTCAGAGTGCAGAGCATGGAGGGGCTGACCAAGGATACATTTAGCCTTTTTTCGCGCCCTCTCCTCCCAAAGAGACTGTAAGTCTCTTTGTTTGGCGCCAATAATTTTGGAGCAGATTTTTACAATGCTCTGCAGCTTCTTTTTGTCCTTCATGGACAAGGCTTTGTACCAACAAACAAATGAAAATGTTAAAATGCTTTCTATAAAACAGCTATAAAAGTTGCAGAGAATCCTTTTATTCACGTTAAAATTGTTCAATTTCCTTAAAAGATAGATTCTCTGCTGAGCTCGTTTAAAAATGGAGTCCGTGTTTGTGACAAACCGCAGCTTGTTGTCAATCCAAGAACCAAGGTATCTGTACTCTTCAACCACCACCACTTCACCGTGGATGATGCTACTACCAAGGTGGGGTGGTGCGGAGCGTCTAAAATCAATAATCATGTCCTTGGTTTTTTTGACGTTCAGGTCCAGGTAGTTACTGTCACACCATTCTACAAAATCTGACAGCGCGGGACCATGATTTATTTCAGATCCCGAAAGTAAGGACATCAAAACAGTGTCGTCCGAAAACTTAACCAAGAACCTGTTGTTCTGAGTGACCCTGCAGCTGTCTGTGTACAGGATAAACAACAGGGGGGACAGAACGCATCCCTGAGGAGATCCGGTGCTAAGGGGGCCAAGCAATGGTCCAACATTTGGCTCATTGTTGGTCCAAGTGGTTGGACTTTGAATTACACCAATCCATAATTTGATCATCGCAAAGGACAAATGAGTGACCCGACAGGATCACCTCAGGGGACCAATCATATTTCAGCAGGGGCCAATGCCCCTGTGGCCCCACCCCTAGAACTGCCAATCTCACACACTCACACACACCTAAAGCGTGCCTGATGGTGGCCCCGAGGCGCAGAGCCCTGACGTAGGGTGTTGTAGTGTGAAGAGCTGTGAGCAACAGAAATAATTAAAAAATCCATGGCTGCAAATACATGATCATGTACTGTAATCTTCCTGTCCAGGTTTCACGATGCGATGACTCTACAAGCATGGAGGGAAAGAATTTAGGGTAAAATATTGGACTTCTGGACAAGAACAAATCACATCTAAGAAATCCGTCTGCAGACTGTAGCCTCGTAGGCAGCAGATAAACGGCTGGTTTCTCCTGGAGGAGGGCAATAGGCTGCAGGAGTCAACAGCCTGAGTGGTGAAGGTTGGGCTACATAAAGTTAAAGTCCCATTAGTTGTCACACACACTGATGTGTGTGCGAAATTTGTTCTCTGCATCTGACCCATCCCCTGGGGGTGCGGTGAGCTGCAGACACAGTCGCGCTCGGGAACCATTTGGTGGTTTAACCCCCCAATCCAACCCCCGTAATGCCAAGTGTCAAGCAGGGAGGCATTGGGTCCCATTTTTTTCAAAGTCTTTGGTCTGACCCGACCAGGAATCGAACCCTGACCTCCCAGTCTCAGGGCGGACACTCTACCACTAGGCCACTGAGCTGGTACAGATCAGTAAATTAATTACTGAACAGATTTATTAAACCCACCGCAAACGTATGACCCAAATTCTGCAACGTAGCAACCAGGCTTCTGTTCAGTCTAGAAAAAAATAATCAAAATATCCTCACCAGACGTTGTCTTTAAAGCCTTTATGTTAAAAAAAACAAACATGTGGAGCAACACCACATTTACTTCAGTGATGCTGAATAACACCTTTATGCAAAATGTGATTTAGAGTTTCGGACACAGGATGTACGTCGTTTTTCCATTTGCCTCCTACAAAATAAAACACCAGAGCAGCTCGTTACAAAATGTACATGAAAACTATCAGCTGCACCTGCTGGAACAGAAGCAAAGTTCTGGGGGTAGAAATAACTGTCTCTGTTGTCATGGTAACTTTATTTACATTGACAATCCCAGCACTAAAGTAATGCCAGGTGTGCAGACATGATGACGGTGAAAAGAGCAGCATGGAGTTAAAAAGCAGGAAAGGAGAATCTGAGCGGAGTGACGAAGGTCAGAAGGTTCCCTGCTGAGTTTCTGATGTTTATAGGTGCAGGACACTTCTCAGCTTCCTCGTCAGTTTTTAGCCTTGCCTTTTCCTTTTCCTTTGCCCTTGCCCTTGCCAGAGTCTTCCTTCTTCTCCTTTTTAGACTCTTTAGCGGTTTTGCTCTTCTTCTGCTGCAGAGACAAACAGGAGAAGTCAGGAAAACTCTGAAAGACAACGATGTCGCCACTCTGGACCGACTTACTTTGATCATAGCATCGGTCTGGACCCCCTCTCCGTCATCCTCAGATCCTGGTCCATCCTGGTCTGCATCCTCCCCTCCAACATCCAAGTCCCCCAAACCACCACGCCGGCCTTTTTTCACAGCTTGCAGAGCGTACGGCGTCATGTGAGCCTCTCTGTTGTACGCCCGTGTGAACGCTGCCTTCACCTGAAGGGAAACAAACATCACCTCTCACCGAGTTAGCTTCATGTGTTCCAACATTAACATGTGCTAGCTGCTAAACATGAAATAATGTCAGCAGCCACCTGGTGATTACGATAGACTGCATCAGATATAAAGACATCTGAAGGAGTAGGTGGGAACATCCACCTAAATCAAACAGAAACATCAGCAGTCACCTTGGAGTCCAGTTTAGAATATGGATCAGGCTGACCACCCCAGGAACTAATCTCCATGATGCTGTCCACATCCTCCTTGATGAGCTGGTAGTCATCCAGAAGCTGCACAGCCTGCCCGGCGCCCTCCGCCCCGTACTTCTGCAGAGGATGCAGCAGAATCTGTCGGAGGTAGTAGAGGTAGTCCAGGTTCACCGCCTGTCTGCTGCCCATCGTCCTGCAGGAGACAGACCCAACCAGGTTAGTCTGCAGGACTGCATGTGTGTCAAGAATAACAACAACAACAATAATAATAATAATAAGGTCCAGAATTTGTTGACAGGGTTTTTTCCACCTGCTTCCTTTCATCTCAGAGTTTAAGACTGTGAGAAATGATGGAATTATAGCCTTTTGGTCTAATCATCACAATAATCTTACGAGTGATCTCCTGTAAAAGGGCCGAGTCAGCAGCGTTCAGTTATTCATTTAGAAGTTCCGTCCAAAATGGTGGATTTATGAAATGCATGTTTTTGCTCTTCGTAGAAACTGGAAAACTGGGAAAACACACACACACACACACACTAGGGTTGGGCGATTTGTATAGTTTTTCCCACCCCCAATTGATTATATTTTAGCAGTTTTATTATTTAATATTATTATTTTGCTGTCTATATGATTTTATTTATTACTTATTTTCTAACTTTTGTCCCTTAGCTCTTTTATTATATTTTTGCTCATTTTAATCCAGTGTTTCCTCTGTAGGGGCCCTCTGCCCCGGGAGTGGTGGTCGACTGTAGCTTCCTGGGCGCTCTATAGGTGGGGGTCTATGCTCCCCCTCCACTGAGCGCCCTGACTGTGTGGAAGACCTGATGCTGCCGGGACAGACGGCTCCTCTGATGGCGTTTCCTTACCTTACCTTGCTTGGCTCATCTGGACTCAGCCAAATATAATTTTTACGTGCGTACGTGCGTGCGTGTTAATGTTTTTAACCTGTTATGGGAATCTGGGGTCATTTTGTAAAGCACTTTGTTTGAAAAGCGCTTTATAAATAAATTTGATTGGTTGGTCAGTCCAAAAAAAGACGATGGACGATTTATTCGTTCATGTGACGTCATGACGCACGGACTGATTTGCGAACACAGAAGAAGCTCAAAACAGATTGTTTTAATACAAGTGCAGCACACATGTTTGCTGGAAGAGAAATTGATTTTTCTTTTTGTCTAATTTTGTATTTGTAGTTTGGTAGAGTGACGTATAAACGGCCCGTAATAAACACGGTTAAAATGTTCAAAAGAAGCCTCGCAGTTTCCCTCTGGTGCCCACTGTTGTGGTTTTTATTTAAGCTAAATGTTTCCGTCGGATCAAAGGCGACGAGGTGGGGGATGGGATGAATCGCTGCTGCGTTTGGACGCACCTGAGGAGGCAGCATTTGCTCGCTGCCAGAGGTCACATGATCCATTTATCCCCGTCACTTTCCTTTTTAAATTATTAATAATCATTCGTTAAATTTCCATTCATTTAAACTAATATTTAGTCCAACCAAGCTGACGAGAAAGCCCCAGTAACATGAACAATGTAATTAATCGATTTCACTTAAATTAGGAACATTTCACCTGCTGCGGCTCGAACGCACGTTCCTCCTGCGCCGCGTGCACCTGAGCTGGTCACCTGCAGCTTGTGTGTGATCACATGTCTCTAGGGAGCTTGCTGAAGACGTTATGAGCTTCTAGACTCGTGCCTCAGACGGACTCATGACTGTTTCAATAAGGTTCTGGATGGATCTGTGCTCAGCTGACACTCGAAGCAGGTGCTGAATAACGACGAGCGCTACTTCAGCCAAAGTTTTAAATCAGGAAACATTTCTCCACATGAAATAACCAGAATTCTTCCAGACTCTGAAAGATAGAAGGGTTTCCACTGAACGCTGCGCCGTAGTGCACGATGTCGAGTGCGTCACGAACGCTTTCCGAGCCTCTCAGCGCGCCGCTTGTGCGTGCACTGTCAGCAGCCAGAGGCGGAGGAGGTGAGAAAAGGCTCAGATGCGCGGATGGAGATCTTTTCTTGATTGTTACCTCCGCAATGTTCTCTGTGAGTAGCGTGTAAAATATTTGTCAATAACAAACAAATAAACAAATTGCCTACTGTAAAAAACAACTGTAACGGTTCAGCCCATCGCCGATGGTCGATTCATTCGTCCCATCGCCCAACCTTAACACACACACACACACACGTTGGGAGAACAACATGGTGTGCAGAAAGGCAGCAGCTAAATTTTGAACTTGCAACCTTCTTGCTGCAAGGCAACAGTTCCAGCGTGCAGCCAACAACCCAAACTAGACCCCTGCTGAACCACCCCACCACATCATCTCCTCCACCTTGCTGGTTGCTATGACAACAGAAAAACACTCACTTTAAACTCATGTGAGAGGACAGCTCCTGAATGATGCGGGAATGTTTACTGGTGGAGGAGTTTTTCCCGAGCCAGCTAGGGAAGACTGGGAACTGAGACATGTAGCCTCTCATGAGCTCTCCTGGAATTACGCTGGCGTAGATGGCCTACACACACACACACACACACACACACACACACACACACACACACACACACACACACACACACACACACACACACACACACACACACACACACACACACACACACACACACACACACACACACACACACACGTTAGGAAATAAGCCAGCTTCAGTCTCAACGGGTTAAATGTGGACCATCTTGTGAGCGTTACTTGAGTAGGTAGCAGGGACCAGTTCTGCCCTGATCGGATCCGCCTGTCCACCAGGTCGCCGTCGCAGATGGAGTCAGCAGTCTTACTGAGCAGCACCAGGTGGGACTTCATGTCCCCGCTGTGAGAGGAGGCAGCACGGAGACATTAAAATAATAACTGGACGACTGCTTTGCAGGCAAACCAAGAGGTGGTCTCACCGAGCTGCGGCGGGACGAACGTGCACGTAGTTCTCCTGGACGAAAAGAGGCGCCAACGAGTAGTCGTGGAAGAACAGGTCAGACTTGTCGATGAGGCTCATGCGGGCCGTCTCCTCCCCTGAAATAAACACCTTCCTGCACACGTCAAAAGGGCCCAGCTTCATGTCCTTGCGGGCATTTGCTGCGTCGGACTTGCACCTGTCGTACGTCATCACCTTGTCCTTGGCCGACCACATGCTCAGGTTGTGAATCACCTGGAGGCAAAAAGCCAGAGTGGAGCTAAAAGAAAACAACTCAAGTCTTATAAAGCATGAAGCCTTTGATCTGTGTACCTGTCGGACATCCTGGTTGGAGGCTAGGATGATCTCATTAAGAGCTGGAGGTGGGATCTTAAGTCCTTCCTTGTAAGCGATGGACATCATGGCTCCCTGTAAAACAAGAGAGACTTACACCATTCTCTGGGATTTATTCAGCCCCTCCTTCAAGCTAACCACATCCATGCTTCTGCCAGGAGAGCAGCAGGGTGTGTACCTTGATCTGTTCCAGCCGTGGCCTCTGGAAGCGAAGGTCGAAGCAGTAGTTGGCCAGCGATCTGATCTTTGGGTGGTTGCGGTCGTTGCACATGCAGATGATGGGAATCTTGGTGTTTTTTATCAAAGCAATCAGCTCCTACAAGAATCAGGAAAAAGCCACTGATGTGAGCTGTAGCAGCGTCGGTATCAGTCCAAACCCGTCAGTTTTACTCATTTAGTCTAAAATCGTTTGTTTTCTCTTTGGCAGACTCCAACAGTCCAGGGGGGCGTTACAGAACACACGTTTAAAACATCAGGGCCTTCCTGACAAATCCCTGCTTAACAAAGCGCGCCCCTTCCCTCCTGCTTTCGCCAGCTCCACCAACAAATCTCAGGTGGATTCAGTCGCCTGTAATTCAAGCGAGGAGCAGCAAGCGAGGCTCCCGTGCGTCCGAAGGCAGCCCCTGTTCATCCATGCTAGATAAATGAGAATGACAGGAAAGGACGGCGCCTCGTTCTTCATCCAGATGGGGGAAGAATTCAAACAAAGATATCAGAACTTAAAGACAGCTGGTTGCTTGAATAAATTTGTGTTACTGCCGTTATTGAGTCAGAACGCTCAGTGTTTCCATGGCAATGCAGGAAGTCTGATTCAGCTCTGTTTCTCCACATATTTTATTCAAGCTTTCATCCTTTATGTGTCATTTTCACGTTGTCCTCCAGAGTCCGGATGTTTAGAGACTGGAGGACTTAGATTTTGCCGAGCAGCGGTGAGTTTTAAGAATATACGTTTGTGGCGCTCACGTGACCCTAACATTACCTCTGTGAACCTCTGTAAAGACTTAAATCCAATTAGAACTCAATTTTAAATATTAAAACTCCACATTTAATAATAATTTAGCCATCAGAAGCAAAGCTACAGCTGCTGCTACCGCTGTGGGCCAGCGGTGTCGCTAATTCACCATCTCATAGCTGCCAGACACAAGAAAAAGAAGCCGTAACATGCCTCGTCTAATCATTTCCTGCAATGCTAGCTGCTAGCCTGCCAAAGAGCAGGTTTTTTTATCCAGCATGTGCTACCATGGTGAGTGGGAGGGGCTTCATGCTAGCCGTGTTCGTAAAACCGATTTTGCGGCAGTTAAATTAAGATTTTCAAAAGAAAGCCTGGTTTTTGGGATTAGCTTACTTTCTACAACAGACCCCAGATCTATAAATAGAACAAATAAAGCGTCTTTGTTCCCTCCTTCTTATGTTGTAGATGCAGAAACTACATCAGAAAATGTGAAACATCTGTTCAGAGAGAGCGCATGTTTACCTGGACCCCCCCTCGGTCCTCATTACCAGCCATCCCATCCACCTCATCCATGATCAGGACGTGTTTGCTGCTCACGGTCTGAGACGTTCCTGCAACAAAAAAACAGCCAGAGTGGGGTGCTGCTCCAATTCCTCCATAAACTCAAAAACACGTGAAACATGAGGCACCAACAGGGTCACAGGTGAGCTGTCACTGACAACAGTTGGACGTGCAGCTGTTGCAGCAGCGTAAATCATAACAGAGCTTCCTTCACAATAAGAGTCTCAACATCTGCAGCTTAAATTAAATTATTCTTCTCTGACTGGCTCTAATGAAGAGTTATTAAAGAGCAAATTGCAGGTTAGAGACTCCCATGAACCAATATTTAGAGAAAAATAATAGAAACTCATTTTAAAAAAATTTTACACAAACATAAATTATTTAGGTTTTTAGTGTCATTTTAGTGATTTTTTTTTTTTTTTTTTGTGCCAAACTAAGTGATGTCAACCGAGGGAGTCCTGTTAGCTTAATCCAGAGAAAAATATGGACTCTAATGCCGGCTCGGACACGGAGGAAACTTTAAATGTTTATACGGTAATTCTACTTCTGATGGACCAAAGCCATGAAGTTATGAGTTTGCTGCTCGCCCCAGAGCGCAGAGACACACCAGAGGGAGAAACGATCGGCCAAAGCAGAGACATTGTGCTGCGATGTGAGGAGAACAGTGGGGAAGCATCAGGTGTCTTGTGAGTTAACAATATTAGCTTAAACTCACGTGTTAACATTACAATACTATACAGATTCCTATCATGTACCAAATAGTATCCATCAGTTAATACAACATTAATACTAATGAGCGTCTGTCGACTGTCTTGTCTCTGCGCTTAGAGAGAGAGATAGAGAAGAGAGAAAGCGTCTGTCGACTGTCTTGTCTCTGCGCTTAGAGAGAGAGAAGAGAGAAAGAGAGAAAGAGAGAAAGAGAGAAAGAGAGAGAGAGAGAGAGAGAGAGAGAGAGAGAGAGAGAGAGAGAGACGCCCGTCATCCGGTTCTGGACCTCATGCGGGCTTCTGTGAGCTGGATCTAACCCAGACACCAGCGAACCAGTCGAGCTGGTATTTTTAAAAACGGTGCATGATCCTGTCCTGGAGGTCTGCGATGGTTCTGATCTGGTTCCCAGAAACCAGCTTGACTGGCCCGCTGGTCTCTTCTGGTGGTCGGTTCTGACAGTGATCTGAGTTCCAGAAAATCGCAATTAATTTTTTAAACCCTGCCACGAGTCTCCGGAGCCCAGCGCGGACCTCCCTGTCCCGGTACCGACCGATGTGGACCACAGAAGTCCCGTCTTGTCAGCTACACAAAAGGCCCTCAGGCACGAAGATAGAGGCGTCGTTTCTCTTATCTGGAAACCCGTGGACTCGACGTCCAGACAGGCTGGAGTCGGTACAGCCTTCACACACTCTAGTTTATCAAAATGAACACAACCCAACACTAGTTAACACACACACTGACTGGATCAAACGACCTCTCTACTCTAAAACTAGCCACTCTTCCCACTGAGCTGAGGCAGCGCCTAGCTCCTAACTCCCTTTGGTTACGTCCGTGGTTCACATTTAGAAACAAGTGTTTTTAGAAGCTTTGCTGAGAAAGGACACTTTTTTATATGAATTAGAAAAAGAAATTAACCTACAATTTGCTCTTCGACTCCAGATGTAAAATTTAAATTAATATCTACTGTAAAATAACCTAAAGGTGCCACTAAACGTTTCAGTCTTTGATGCAGGAACTCAGAAGTTACTTTAACAATTAAACAGAAGTGAGACAGTAATTGTAGAGAAAAGCTTGTTTTTAGTTGTTGTTGTCCACACACACACACACACACACACACACACACACACACACACACACACACACACACACACACACACACACACACACACACACACACCTTTGTAGAAGCCCTCGATGCTGGTGTTGTTCAGCGACTCGGCTACGACTTCCTTCAGGCTGTTTTTGCTGCGTGTGCAGCTGGCGTTCATCTCTACAAAGCTGTAGCCCAACTCCTTCAAAACACATTTATAAAGAGCGTTTGCTGTTGAACACCCAGATGTCACTTATGAGTGTGTGTGTGTGTGTGTGTGTTTTCAGACTGACCTCACAGACCAGGACAGCGGTGGTGGTCTTCCCCACCCCTGGTGGTCCAGACAGCAGAGCAGCTTTGTGTCCTGATCCATCGTCCTTCCCTCCAAATCGACTGAACTTGGCTGCTGCAGAGCAGAAAGCACCAGAGGAACGTTCTCATCTGCTACTCATCAAAGCCCTGAGAAATAATTAGCTCATTCTTCTGCTACCTGCTGGCTTGCTGCCTCCGGCGCCGCTATGATGCTGGTACCAGCTCTGTAGCCAGCGGAGCAGCTTGTTGGCACAACTCTGGTCCCCCTGCTGGCCAATCACAGCCTTCAAAGAGCATGGACGATACTTGTCCACCCACAGAAGACTCTCCCCCTTCATTGATGGAGGTGAGGGCTCTGACGCTGAGGAGGAAGGAAGGTCCAGCTCCTTCTGGGTGATGCGACCTGATCCTCTCCCTGTTGGAGTGCCGTAACCGCTGGTCCTGGTCACGTGACCTTTGGCCTGTCCAGTCTTAGATGGACTTGGGGTGTGGGGGGACCTGGAGTTACCTTTAGAGGGGGAGATCTTCTGAGCCTTGGGGGTGCTCTTTTCAGCATGGCTGGGTGGAGACCTGGTCTTTGAGGCGTTGCTCTAAATGAGAAACATCCATCAGTCACACTTAATCGAACCCTGATGGATCAGATCACTTAAAGAGTTAAAACCTCCTAATAATGTCAAAACCACGACGTCCGAGCACTCACCTCAGCCTCAGCAGTAATCTCGTACTTTGACTTCTTCCCTGGTTTGGTTCTGATCAGCTCCAACAAACCATCTTCATCCAGGATTTTGGTGCCTAGACTCTCCGCCTGAGCAGTTCAAGACAAAGGAGAGAAAATCGGAACGGACTCAAAACCTTCTGGGATCAGAGGGGGGATCCAGATCTGCCACGGAACGGTCATAAGGATGCCTTTTCCTCTGTGTGTGTGTGTGTGTGTGTGTGTGCGTGTGTGTGTGTGTGTGTGTGTGTGTGTGTGTGTGTGTGTGTTTACATCTCACAAACTACTGAACTCATCATGAAACAAGCCGACCCGGGTGACTCACCTTCTCCTGCTTTGACACGCCGCCGTCTCTGCCCTGCACCAGGTAGCTGGTCTTCTTGCTGATGTTGCCCGTCACTTTGCCTCCATAGCGTTCGATCAGAGATTTGGCGTCGTCTCTCTCCATCGACTCCAGGACCCCCGTCAGCACAAACACACAGCCCTCCAGACAGTTCTCTGCACCCTGAGAAACGCAACATTTTCTTAAGCTGCCTCCAGAGCCCATCTCAGCCAAACCACCTCTTATCACCAACAAAGCAGCCGTGCAGCTCTGCTCCAACCTTTGGGATGTCCTTGGACCCCAGCGCTCGTGGCCCTTCTCTGTTGAGATAGTTCCTGTAAGCTGAAGAGTGCAGCTTCTTCTTCTCTGCATCGTCAGGACTTGTGTTCTGATGGGAAAACAGAGGAAAACCATTTTCTTTTACTGGTTTCCACACAGCAGCCCTTCCTGACCTGTGCAGCTGAGGCTCACCTCAAGTTTCTTGGGAGATTTTTTCAGTTCTGTTGGCGTCACTTCTGGTTTTGGTGTGATCTTGTCTGAAGTTGGAGATGTCTTTGGCTCCTTTATGGGAGAACTTTTATTTCTCATGGATGTTTTCCTCGTCGGTCCTTCCTTCTTCTCCTCGTCTCTCTTCTTCATCATGGCCACTTTGGAGCAGACCGTGACTGGGGTGTTTCTGGGCGATGGACTGATCACATCGCTGCTCTGACTGGTCTTCAGCGGGCTGCTTGATGTGCTGACAGAACCTGTGCGGTTCTTTTGGGGCGTTGTGCTCAGACCTGGTTGTTCCTCTGAGCTTTTGCGAGCCTGGGCAGGAGAATAAATAAAACAGTGAGATTTTACCTGAAAAAGAAAACACGCTACATAATCATGGTTCTCATTACTTTCTTAGCCTGCGGCTCTGCATCCAGCATGGCCAGAGTTCTAGCAAACCCCTCGTCCTCATGGATCTGTTTTTCCAACTGAATCAAAAATAATAATAAAAAAAATTATTATTGTGGGAAAAAAAGGTCAAAAGACTCTGAACAATTCTGATGACTAAATATTTTAATTTTTAATCATTTTTTTTATTTAAAATAAAACAAAATCACAGATTTACAACAAAATACCAAACCAGGTGGTTTTGTGAGGAAACTAGATTATTGTACAGAAAGGCAGCATGTGCCATCACATTCACACGTCTGGAAACCGCCTCAGTGACAGAACTGTCTCTGAACAGACTTCAGATCCATTTACCTCCCTCACTTCATCCATCTGCAGCTGCCGCGCCATTTCTTCATCACTGATCAGGTCATCCAAGTCGTGGGTCGGCTAAAGAACAAGAGTTTTTACGGGTTATGTATGTATTTAGCAAACATGAAAAGAAATTAAAAAGAAGTCAAGAGGAAGAAATGGGGATGGTTTGTTGGAACTCACTGTCTTGCGTTTGGTGCTTGCTACCAGCTTCTTGTCGGAGCGGTGAATCGTCCCGCTGCCAAAGAAGTCGAGTACGGAAGTGGGGGTCTGTTTGGGTGGAGGTGGGGCGGACTTGGGAGTTGTAGGCCCAGGAAGACTTTTCAGACCAGGTTTACCTTGACTGGGAGACTTCACTCGCTCTTTGCTTTCTGCACAAGCACGTTCTGGTTCGGACTTTGTGCTTTTGGCAGTGCCGTTCTGTTTGGGTTTGGAGTCTTTCTTCAAGGACAGGAAGTTGTCGCTGTCGGAGTCTACAAACAAAAAAAATCCATTCTCTAACTGGAAATCTACATTTTTGAAGACTGATCCCGGAACAACAGAACAGTAAATCGGAATGAGACGAGAGTGTCACCTGTTTCAGAGACATACTGAACAGGATCCTTTTTAGGAGGTGGTGCCGTTTTACTGGTTGTTGCTTTTGACTTGATCACAGGCTCCAGCTCTTCCTCAGAGTCTGAACAAAACAAGTGAGGAATCGTCTTTAAAATAAAAATATATTTTAGAAAGGAATAGATTTATCATGGAGTTTACAAGCAATTTAATCTTTTTTCATGGTAAGAATTCCTGATTAAACAAGAATTACATAAATTATTAATATTATTGTGTAACATGAAAGTTTTTTTTCATTTATTTTATAAGAAATTTAATTAGCGGCAATGTAATGTCAGAAGTCTAGCAGCAGTGATAAAATAAATAACAGACTGAGGCGAAGTTGCTGCTATAAAATGTGGAATGGAGCTTGCAAACATGCAGAGAGTCAATATTTGGGAAGCTAAAGAAATAAATGTTAAATCTACCGACTTAGACCTGAAGCTTACCCGACTCGATCACTGCATGCTTCTTTCGTTTTTTCCCACCACCCTTGTGGTGCTCTTCTTTCTTGGAGTTTTTGATCTAAAAAAAAATAAAACGTTCAAATAAAATCAAAGAAGAAGAAGAGAGATATTTTCTATAGCACCTCTCAAGATAAAAATCACGAGGCGCTTCACAAAAACAAAAAATGTAAAAATATACAAAAATATTTTAGAAAATGATTAAAAATATATTTAAAATTAGCAAAAAATAGACAAATTGTGATTAAAAATGTAAAGAAAGAGAGGGAGCGTGGATAGGAACGAGGGAAATCAGTGGATCCTGAGGAAGGTGGAATAGGTGGGGAGAGCAGAGCTGTTTTTTAAAGGTGAGATGTAAGATGAGGGATGGAGTTATTTTTATTTGTTTGTGATCAGTTGAGATCAGAAGTTAATGAGTCCTTGCCTTTGTGCTCTTTTTCTTTTTTTCATTTTCATCTGAAGATGCTGAATTATTTTTCTTCTTCACGTTTGATTTGGCGTTTCCAGGCAGGGCTGGCTTCTGCACCACCGGCTTACCTGACACTGGTCCAAAGAATCGCCTGATGTCCTGTAAAACACACACACACACACACACACACACACACACACACACACACACACACACACACACAGTTGATGACACTGGAACACATTCATCCACACAAGCTGGAGGGTATTTATTCAACCCTAAAGACTTACTCTCAAACGTATTCCTTCAGTTTTGATTTGAAAGACAGTCTGAACCAGCGGTTACACGTAAACTTGCCTCAATTTTAATTACTAACCGAATCATGTACACGACGCCGTTTACAGCATGACACGTTTCTAGTAAAGATTAAATACAAACTTGCTAATCTGCTGTTTAGCTGCAGCAAACTGTGCGAGGAACTGAAAGCAGCGTAACGACATGACTGACGGTTATTATTTTTGCTTTAGTTGTTTACATTTCTATCTGCAGCTTCTCGCGTGTGCGAATTAAATGTTGTAACGTTTAACATACCATTCGGGACAGCTTCTGTAGGTTTGTTGACAGAAATTTAAGAAACTCCTTGAACTACTTGGCGCGAAGCAGTAATCTGTTCAGTCGCCGGGAGATGACGTAGCAAAATCTGGTTGGCCTGCGTCAGTGCAACTTTATGTAAACACACAACAACAACAAAAACTTTATGGAAGCACGCGCCTCTTATCTTGCCTCCGGCGGGACAAGAAGACTAACCTACATTTAGAAATGGTTATTCATCATTCACAACAAATGGCACATTTATAAACATACGCTTTTTAAAGCCTTTTTACGTTTTTATTTAGGTCAAATACTAATCACACACCGTCCACAGCACCTCAGGTGGTTAGATCAACTATTCGGTATCTTCATTTCTAATATTCTTTCCCCTCCATGTTGCATATTTATATTTCTAACCTTTTATTTAACGGTTGGTTTATTGACAAGGTTAGGTGTGAATGCTTCACCTTTAGTTGCTAGATTTGCAAAAAATAAAAATAACTTACCAGATGTAGAAACTTGGCCTGGTGAACTAGACCAAATTCTTGCATTGCAAAGTTAATATATATATTTGTCTGGTTTACCAAACCGTCATATTGAAAAAAATACCACACATCAGGTGGAGTAGGGCTAGATTACAAATACTTATATGCTTCTTTTTCATAGCCTATAAAACCCACATTTAGCATAAGGGCAGTGGACTTTAAAACAACTAGATTTGCTTATTACTCCAATATCTTTTATGATACCAATACTTCAAACTGTACACAAACAGAATGAAGCTGTAATGGAAAATAGTAATGTGGGCTAAATAAATTGCTTTAAAAGCTATGTATTACTTGTGACCAATAGCTGTAATACTCTTTTAATTATAGAATATCACCTTGCTTGGTCTTAGGATGATTAATTAGAAGGTTCTAGGATTCTTTTAATTATTAAGGGATCGTTCACACTTCGTTTATGATTCAAGAACCAGTCAGTGTTTGCAAACAAATAAGAGTTTATTTTACAAACAATTAAGACTTGACAAATGGTTTATCCTGTGAGTGGATGGAACTAAAAGATGGGTGTCTGAAATCTATGTGTGAATATGAGATGATGAATCAGAATCTCTGTATCTTCAGAGAGGTGCGTTCTGGTTTACATTTAAGCTATAAGCTGTTATTTATCCAACTGCATACAGATGCTGTGTGCCTACATTACCGTAGAGGCACCCTCTTGGTGGATCCAAAAGTCAGAGTGGTCGGATGACCGCTGGCACCGGAGGGCTGTAGAGTACAGAGGTGCCGTCCTTTCAGTCCTAGAGATGTGTCTCGGGTCACGACAGATGGATGGAAACCACGCGTCTTAAAATAACTCTGAAGGATTTCAGCAGTCAGCTTTGTTCTGCAGGAAAACTAGTTGTTCTCATCTTCACAGGTGCGAAAAAGGTGTAAGGTTTTGACGTGTCAAAATCCTTTTGGTTAAAAAAAGGCTGTAGCTAAAGATGGCCAGTCTAAAGCTTTGCTCTCCAACCCTCGAACCGTTGCTGTTCGAAACTCTTGTCTGAGGGTGGAAGCATAGCGGCTGGTTTTTATAGACCGCTGTTATCTATTACCAGTTAGCAAAAATCTCAAACACACCCGCCTACTTGATAGAGCCCCTGAGTCTGGGTGAAAGGTTAATCTGTGTCACGCATTAATCTTTACTCTGTCTGGTGTGAGCACATGGTGATGACCTCACCTAGCAAACACTACTAAACCTTGAATAGATTCATGACATTTCATTGCTTATAATAAAAGTTCATAATGACTTTTTTTTAATTATAAGATCTTTTCTTTTGGAGAATAAAAAGTTTATCTAAAGAGTTCTCTTGAGAGGAAATTTGGGGACAGGAATGCTACTGTTCATTATTATCTGATGAAGCTGCGGTCCCGCTGATGAAGGCTTTGATTAAAGAGACTGTGTGCAGACACAAGACTCCTTTCAGCCAGGGTTAGATGACCTAATCCCAAAATCAGGCCACTTCATGACGTTACAAAGCCAACACTCAATTCAGCTCAGTTTAATCAGGTGACAATAAGGCAGAGTGATCCCATAACTTGAAAAAGAATCTTTATTGGTCGTTATCAGGACACGCGAATAGTCATTCAATATCTTGCTCCACCACAGTGGTCTTCTCGCTGACATAGATGCCATCCAGAAACTTCCTGATGTCCTTCTTTCTGACTGTGGTGGCTTGTTGGATCAATGCCGCTAAAAACAAAAAGGAGAGCAGAGCATTAGAAAAGTGATCTCCTCTGATAGCGTGAGGGTGGTTAGAGCATGCTCGACTCACTGGGCCTGATGGCAAAGTTTTGAATCATGCATCAAATAAACAATTTAAGGCCAAAAGCATAGAGAGAAAAGGGTTAGGAGCAAAGCTGCTGAGTTTTTAGAGGCAAACATGCAACAATCTAAGGACCAGGAGTAACTAAACGTTAGTGATGTACAATGTCAAACTGCTCCTCTTTCATAATTTTAGCAATGGAGAGTTGCCATTTCATTTTTATAAGGTGCTACATGTTAGACTGATGTAGAGTTTGGATAAGACAGCAGAACAGAAACGGTTGAAATCTGGTTTTCAGAGCTGACGAGACTCATGGATGATAAAATGACGGCACTGCCCAGTCCGCTCAGACGCTTTAGACAGATTAGACAGATTAGTGTGAAATAGACTCTTCAGTAATAGAAAGAGTAATTAGACATGATATGTAAAGAAGGTAGACATTTCCTCTGAAACACAAAGACAATTATGACGGCATCATCTAACCTCTACACCAGATGTCATTTTTACTGGTCTGGTTCCACTACTGTTCCCTTCTCAGACACATAAATGCCATCCAAGAACTTTCTGATATCCTTATTTTTGACTGTGGTGGCCTGTTGGATCAGAGCAGCTGGAACAAAACACAGCTGGGTTAAAATCAGCACAACAAAAACGCCATCACTCCTAACAAAAACCTACAGAAGATATTATAGATTAAACATTCAGTCTGACTGGTCAAAGAACAGAAAAAGCCCCTTGTGAGTTTCTTAATCTTAGTGTTATAATTTCCCTCGTGGTGGATCACTCATTTAATCAATGCATTTGTAGTGGTCTATAGTGGGTTTTAATTACTTCATTTTTACACAATGCACCTTTAAGGGTATTTAAAAGTTATTTAAACAGAATCTCTGAAAAGCAGCTGTGTGTGTGTGTGTGTGTGTGTGTGTGTGATTTATATATGTTAAGATCTGAAGTTCTGAATATGTATGGAGACACAACAGCTGAGAGAACCGGGACATTGAATCTCTTGGTCAATCTCCCCCTCCCAGAAATTACCATGAAGTTCCAACAACGGAAACAATGATGCCTATAAACGTTCATTTAGTCCGGCTAGACAGAAGGTGGACATACCCGAGTTAGAAACCAGCTCAATGTCGTTTCCCTCCAGGACCAGCTCGTCCTTCTGGGCAGATGAAACGGCACAATTCACACCTGGAAGCAAGAAATGTTTTCAGAAAGAGGCTTTAGTGCTGGAAAGCATCTTAAATCTGGGATTTTTGTCAGAATCAAGGCTTAAAATTTGACTCTTCACTATAAATCCCAAATTTAAATTTAGCTTTAGTCAAGTTGTTGCACTGAAACTTATCCTGGTTCGTGTCTGAAACTCACCAGACCGCATTTAATGTGTAGAAATCTGGGGAACTGCATATAGAACTTACACACAACCTTTGTTTATTTTACAGAAAAGAGCTTTGAGAATTAATAATAACCACAGTAGAGTTCCATCTAACCCGTTTTTTATAAAATATAAATGAAATTTCATGATTTGGTTGACTGGACAATATTGCATACAATGTATAAATCTAATATAGGTACGTTGTCCAACAACACTCAGCGATTGAAGAGGGGAAAAGCAATTATATGTAGAAGGGAACTGAAGTCTTAAAAAGGCCCAGATTTAGAACCAGAATGAAGGAAGTAAGTATTTCGGTGAATGGTGTGAAATTATGGAAGAGCCTGGACAGAGAAGGAAGAGAGTCAAGAACTCCAAGTGTTTAGAGAATATATTAGATCAAGTGTGTTGGGTGGATATGAATGTGAATAGTGTCTGTGGCTATAACTGAAACATGGACAAGGAACGTGACAGAATGAACTTAGAGGGAAAGTATAAAGATAGTTTTGTTATTTTTGTTTAAGGGGGCAGAAAGGATGAGATATTTTCCTTCCATCTGCTCCCTTTCATTCAAGTTTGTACTGTGTTTATATGTACATTGTTTATTTATTTGTTGTTTTTTATTTAATTAAATAAATATTTGGAATACATATATACACACACACACACACACACACACACACACACACACACACACACACACACACACACACACACACACACACACACACACACACACACACACACACACAAACAACAGAATCCACATTGATCCAACTCCATGACGCCACTGACTATTTGGGTCACAAAAATGATTTGGTGTAATTCCCGGACAAAATGAGAAATTTTGTGACCTCTTCAGAAGTCTGGGTTTCTAATCTGATGTAAAACAAACCATCAAATGATCAGTCAGGCAACCCAACAGGTGTTTCTCAATGTCATTTATGATATATACACAGGGTCCGAAATTAAATGTTTTACTCAGCGGCTAAGTTGGCTGGTAGATGATGAAAATCTACCGGCCAAGCATATCTTTTACCGGCCAAAATTCTAAATGATTTAGATCTACCTAAAGCATGTTATTCTATATTATGTTGATTCCAAACAGAGTGACAAAATAATTAAAACATCAATTAATAAGAAAAACAACTCTTTTGTCATTTTTACTATTTATTTATTTATTTTTAGAGATGTTTTTATGAACTCTTTCATTGAAATCTAGTCAGACTCCTTGTTTTCTCTGTCCATGAAGGTCTGGCCTCCTGCTTCTGACACCGTCTTTGTGCCAAAGCATTACAGCCTCATTTGGGTCATAGTCCTTGATCTCTGGAGAACACAGCTGCACCATGAGAATATCTGAAAGTGTGGCAGGGCTAGGGTTGTCACGGTAACCGGTGTAGCGGTAAATCCCGGTAAAAAAGTTGACAATAATAATAACCGTCTTGTTTTTAAAAATATATATTATCTCGGCGGATTACCGTGGCTGCGGTGTAGGTGCGGTGACCCTTACCAGCCACCGTATCATCTGCCTTAAGTTGCCGGCGGCACATGCATACTTTGTTGTTTACGACCAAAACTTTCTTGAAGCTAAAGCTGAAATAATGGCAGGAGGAGACGACAGCACTCGGGACATTTATTATCCCTCAAAGAAGACAAAGTCGGAAGTACGGGCATCTTTTGGATATTTGAAGAATGCCGAGGGACAGTTGTCTGTGAAAGGCAGCAACGCTACGTGGCCATCATGATGTAGCCATTGTCTCACGACTCCGCCGTCTCCGCTTCGCCACTTTTCACAAAATCTTCTGGTTGCCACTGGTCCTGGTGGTTTTTCTTCCAGTTCGACGAGTTTTCCTTTGGAAGGCTGGCTGACTCCAGTTAAAAACCGCCACATTTCACCGCTAGTTTTAACACGAAGCTAACTGCTAACTTGATAAACTGATTGAATGGGATAGGTGGAAATGACGTTGGATGCGGCGCTCACGTTTCGCGTACGTTGCATGCAGGCGGGAGGAGTATCAGAAATCCATGGAAGATGACTGATAAACATAACTCATTTGGTGCAAACGTTTACTCGCCAGGTGGCAGATAGAGCTCAAACATTTACTCGCCAAATGGAGCAATTTGCTCGCATTTGGCGAGTGTTAATTTCGGACCCTGTATATACATTTTTCAATTAACCACCAAACAAATACCTGTGCACAAACTAAAGTATGCTGCTGTACTGGAAGGAAAATAGAGCAAAAACATTATGCCAGTATATGTTTTTCTTCACTGTAAACATGATGTTTACATTGATCTGACTTTAAAAACTAAAAAGAAAATACTGTAAATCCTCTAATACAGGCCCGGGCCTGTATTTGACTCAAGCTCATCAAGCTCCAGGCCTTTATTGGAAGGAGGGCCAGAATTAGAGGCAGGCCTCTATTTCTATTTGAGCAAAATGAACTAATTGTTCGCTGGAGTTTCTCACAATTAAAATTGCGCCCACATTTTCAAAGTTAAACATTTCTTTTAACAACGGTAGTTTCTGCTTCAGCCCTCTCCCCCCTCCCCCCGCACAGCGGCCGCAAACTCACTGATGCGCCTGCAGCCTCTCAGAGTTCCTGCTGCTCTAAACATTAAAATAATTATTTTATTTTCTGTTCCTCACTTCTGATTACCTTCAATGGTGTCTGTTTGTTGCAACCACCAGGTACAAAAACTAACTTGTTTTTATTTGACTATTTTTCTGTCCTGCCTTTTTATTATCTTCCTGCATCTCCTCTCAGTCCTAAAGAAAAACTGCTACCTGTGTTCATATATATTCACCTTATGAGTTACCTTTGAACTGCAGTTCTAAAAGATCTACCGACCGCAAAAACAGCGGAGTGCCGCTGCTCGCCGGTGTTCCGGGAGGCAACGTGCTGTGCCAGAGCGTCGGTACCGACACCCGCCGTAAAACGGACATTTAACCAAATTGTGACGTTTACCCTCTTGCAATTTAACCTTCCCCTCACCCCCATCCTAACCTTAACCAGCTTGCGCATGCAAAGCTCTGATTGTTGACGCGCTCCAGACATCTGCGTCCTGAGCACGGCCACAGTAACATTACCAAATCATGTGTCGCCACCTCAAAAACTAATTTAACACGCGATCGTTCATGCCGGCTCATTTTCTTTTATGTTTTCTGTCTTTTATTCTTTTATTTGTGCCTGATGCGTTTCGCTGCTGTGGATCGGGGCGCATCACCTGTCACCTGCTGACAGCAGCCTACTGTCTTTTCCGTGGACTGCATATTGCCGGTCATTATCACGTGACAGCGACTAGTCGATGACAGGCATAAAAAGTCACTATAGAGCGGTGAAGTCGACTAGTGACTAGTTCATACAACCCCTGCTACTGCTCCCCAGAGTGTTCTGCAGCATAATCAGCACGTTCTCTTTTAACTTGATATCAAATTTTCGCCTCCTCTTCGTCTCCGCACGGTTAAAGTTACCCTCGCGGTCTATCACTGGCAAAATCAAAAGTGAGACGAATGACACAACCGCCCCCCGTACTTGCTTGTTACCACATTCCACCCGGCCACAATAAAAAAAAAACGGCCATTATTCACCTCCACCGACTCCGACCAAAATATGATACCCGGCAGCTAATTAAATACAGGCCAATATTAGAGGATTTACGGTAAACAGAAAATTTAAGTTAAAAATATTTAAAACAGATCATGCAAATTTGCAGGTCACCAGGTTCTCATCCATCATGTTCTAATTATCATAACCCAGTCTTGCTTTAACCAATGGAACCTACATTTTATTTTACATTTTCCAGTTCCCACATGTCCAGCATCCATCAGCATCACTCACCAGCCCTCATCCTGACACGACGGATGTATTTCTCTCCCAGAAAGTTCCTGATTTCCACCAGAGATCCACTCTCCTGAATGACCACGTTGATGGGGAAATGGGCATACACGGAGCGCATTTTATACCGGAAACCCTGCAAGTAAACAAGCATCAGCGGCACTGAACTCGACTGGCAGGCCAACAAAATCTTCAAAAACATCATCCAGCTGCACGTTCACAACACAAATCCACTCATTCAGTCGACACACACGCTGAACACAAGCCTCACCAAGGTGACACCCTTGATCATGTTCTGGACATGGCTGCAGATGGTACGAACTGTGGCCAGCTCCTTTCGGTTTCCCCACCATTTATCCACACGAAGCTAAGGAAGGAGGCAAAAGTCACTAGTAAATCAGAACTAGTGCAAAACAACTACAGAAAAACATCCAATAACTGGCAACAAATGTTGTTCGCACTCTAATATGTAGAGCTTGTAATTTTAACAGTTTGCATGAAAATAATCAATCCTCTTTACTAAATCTAAAGATGAAAAATGCAATATTCATGCTTTTGTGCGCTGATAGTTACACAACAGAAAACGATTTACCAGCCCTCAGACTGTATACTACATGTTTTCTTTATAACACTGACTATCTCATGTCCCACATCTTCTCACCCTTACCTTCTTCTGTTTCTTGCCCAGCAGGCTGAGCTCCAGGTTGATGTGGTTGAACTCCCTGGTGAGCTTACCACGGGGCCCTTTGACAGTCACTGTTCGCCCCTTTAACCTCACCTCGACTGCAAACGCATAACAAGGTCGGAGTTATTAAACAAAAAAAAAACATTAAAGACATCAAAGTAAACGAGACACACAAGTTTCTCACCATTGTCGGGGAGGTCGACAGTCTGGCTGCTGAGAATGGTCTTCATTCTAGAGACAAGCGTGTTTTAAGTTAGAGAACCGTGTCTAAACAAACTTCACCATGAAGCCCACTTCAAGTGAACGGCTCAAGAAACTGATTGGGCAACTCAATAACGTGCTTGTGTATAAATTCGAGTATACGTGTTGTAAGATGTTGTTTCAGACAGAACAATTCAAACGTAGCCATTCTGGCTGTGCTAGCGTTAGCATTAATGCTAACATACTGATGCAGCAGGTCCAGATTGGGATTTGTTCGTAAAACGCCACATTTATTGCAAACGTTTAAACCCTTTTCTAAACTTTAAATTTAAAAATAACGCTGTTCAACTAGCTGCCGGATTAAACATCAAGAGCGTCAGGCCTCAAGACTGTCAATCTGCTGGATTACCGCTGACCTTTCTCCCCCAAAACACAAGACAATAAAAATACAGCCTGCTTATTGAAGTGTAACTTTAATCACACTGGAACTCTCATTAATGAACTAAATTTAAGTTTTAATCACTCAGATGGGGTTAGATGAAACCCTCGGAAATATTTCACAGCTATCCTCACCTCGCCGGTAGCAGAGGAAAGGAAGAGGGGAGGACGTCACGACGCTGTTGTAGGTCACGTACGTTCCACCGCCAGACATTGCTATCGATTGACGTGTTGTTTTAACTTCACAAACTTTTGATGGATGTCTAAGGAAATGTGCTTAATTCTGCTGTAATAACACATTTACGAACAACACAATAAATAAATTAGGTATTTTAATTGCCGTTTTTTCCATCGTGTTTGGCTGCGCCCGTGTAATATCTCACAGAGTATTTTAAGGGGCCAAGAGTGGTAATCCATCGTCTTGGACGTAAAACCCCACTAAAATATGAAACAATTTACACATTTAGAATGTGTTCATGAGATAAATAAATAATAATTAATGGAAAATCAGTAAATGGAAAATAATTCGTAAATTTTCGCGTTTTCCAATTTTGTTCTCAGGCCTTGAATGCAGCACGAGACCAAAAAAGCTGATTACCGAGTGCGGTTACCAATGACAGCTGCTTGCTAACTAAAGTCATGGCGTTGTTTAAACAGTGTTGCTGTTTGACGGGTCGGTTTTCCACAAACCGGCTGGGGTTGAGTCCCAGATACATCCCACGTGTGAGTAATTCACCTGGTTGATTAACTATCTTACAGAAACGCGTTATTTCAGGATTACAACTCCAGCTCGTTTGTTGTGTCACTGTAGCTCATTCACATAGATGATTTAGAACATCATGACAGTAAAACGGATCCGTCCTTCCATCCATCCATCCATTGTCTGAGCCCGTCTGACAATCTGGTGCCTGGTGCCTATCTCCAGCGGTCAATGGGCAATCAGGCGGGTACACCCTGGACAGAGAGCCAGTCCATCGCAGGGCCAAAGAGACACACAGGACAAACAATAGTAAAACGGATCTTTAAAATAAAAATCAGAACTAATCATTATTGTTTGTGCATGTAGGTTTACACCAGCGGTGTGACAAGTGCGGCCCAGTGCTCTCCGGATCGGAAAAACAAGAAGGAGTTCCTGGGAGAAGATGGGCCCGACCTGCAGGACTTCATATCAGGAGATCTGTCTGAGAAAAGCAAGTGGGTTGAATACAGAGGCAACCTGAAGAGACAGAAAGGAGAAAGGTGAATTTAAATCAGGTTAAAAGACTAGAAAATACTGTGTCACCTTCCATGCTTTCAGTATTATTCATCCTACCAGGAGCCTGGCACCAGGCTAATTGAGCTCACTTTTAAGGTTTAATCGCTGAGGATTTAAAATCAGTCCATTCTTTGAGCACACGTGAAAATTAGGATCTAGTGTTTTTTATTTAGTCCTGCTTTGTCTTCATGAACAGAGGAAAGTTTATTTCTTAATTTGATCATTTTCCAGGTTTGCATTCAAACTAGTAAATTCACACATAACACTTAAAGTTGTTTTTAATTTTGGAGCAGTGGAACTAGATATATAATTTATTTGGAAATTAAAGGCACCATATGTGAAGCTAACACTCAGATATATGGCATATTTACTGTTGTTATTAATCTGCACAGCCTGCAGCAACAAATCTACTCATTTAATCACTGTTTTCTGTTTACTCAGTTAAAACGTATTTGCATATTTTTGGTGAGTGAAGTGATGGGTTTTATTGTCAGGCTGAGACTTCCTCCATGGCTGAAGACCGAGATCCCCATAGGGAAGAACTACAACCGGCTGAAGAACACCCTAAGAGACCTGAACCTGCACACGGTGAGTTCAAGGGTTCCTAAAACGAATGCAGAAGCAACATGCTGATGCAGATCAATCTGATTTACAGTAATTGTAATTATCTTTTAGCGCAATGTCTAACAAATACCAGAAGGTCATGTTTGCGCTTAAAAATCCAAAGTGTCTTTACAGCAGGTATATATTTTTGAGTGTGTGTTTTTCAGGTGTGTGAGGAGGCCAGGTGTCCGAACATTGGGGAGTGTTGGGGAGGTGGAGAGTATGCTACAGCTACAGCCACCATCATGGTGAGTCTGACACTCTGGGTGGTGACTTTATCCGATGTAAACGCATTTCAGCATCAGTTTTTTTTCTACTCACAAAGATGGGCTCTCTGTTTTTGTATGTAGTTGATGGGTGACACGTGCACCCGTGGGTGTCGGTTCTGCTCAGTGAAGACGGCTCGCCAGCCGCCTCCTCTGGACCCAGATGAACCGTACAACACAGCCAAGGCCATCGCTGCCTGGGGGCTGGACTACGTGGTTCTGACGTCTGTGGACAGAGACGGTAAAAAACCCTCTCCTGTCTTCTTCATGAGTATTAAATTCTTACATATTCACAGCTAAATTCATCAGTTTGTTGTTTTTATTGACAGATATTTCTGATGGAGGAGCTGAACACTTTGCTAAGACTGTAGCTAACCTGAAAGAAAGGTAAACTCCTGCTATGGACATTACAGATCTTTGTATTTTGACAAGTTTTCACAAAACTCATTATTTTATTCAGAAACTCCCACATCCTCGTTGAATGTCTGACCCCTGACTTCCGCGGTGACCTGGCCGCGGTGGAGAAAATCGCCCTATCAGGGCTGGACGTGTACGCTCACAACGTGGAGACGGTGCGTGAGCTGCAAAGGTAGTCATTTAGCTTTAAATATTGGCAGTTCTAGGGGTGGGGCCACAGGGGCATTGGCCCCTGCTGAAATCTGGTGGGCCCCCTGAAGTGCCAGCCTCTCACTCAATGCGTTTACATGCACATCTAGGTCAATCTAGGTCAGTCTAAAGTAAAATTGGGAGCTTTTATCCTACTTTACATGTATGTTAGAAAATTAACATCTCAAATCAAGTTCATTCCACTCCGTTACAGTAGGTAGCAACGTGCCCTGTTATGACGGCATTCTTCTGGATAGCTTGTAGCAACAAAAAATGGTAAACAAATGCTGGCATAACTTATTCGGTACATACTGTACTGCTTGATGGTGTTACGTTGTGGTGATGCTTCTGCGGTCTCGTCACCTCTGGAGGTTACTGGCATCAGCTCAACCGTGCGATTTACTTGCAGATGAAGTTGGTTACCTACATTATCTGCGTTCTTCGGCACAATTACAACCAGTTCACTTTCAGCAAGACTAACGTGTTTACATACTTTTTTTAAAAATGACATCAGTCCATGTAGAGCAGGGGTGTCAAACTCAAACTCACACGGGACCGAAATGAAACTCTGGGACGGAGTCGAGGGCCAAACTTAATATTTTTTGAAAAAGTGACGGCAAATTTGCACATTTTCTTTATCAACATAAATGCAATTTTGAACCTTTAAATTTGGAAACAAACTTATTTCTGCATTAACACTGAATGTGGAATAACCAAATTACACACAAGCAAGTCAGTTTTAAATAAAAGGCATCAGTGGTATTCATTACTTGTGGTATAATCAGCATTTTTAAAATCTATTCAGGATTTATGTTTTCTTGTTTATTCATTTTTCTTATTTTTATTCTCCTTTTTTCTCCTGTAATACGTGTCATCGCTGCGGTGACGTCTAGCTTTCCCCACTGAGGAACAATAAAGGGATTTTCTATTCTGTTCATCTATCTGCAGCCTTTCCACTTCCTGTTTACTGTAGGTTAAATATTTTCTCACGGGCCAACAACAAAATAAAAATATCATTTTATCTTAAATGAAAATGCAACATCTCACCTGTTAACTTTCATGTTTTGGAGCAGAAAAAGAGCATAAAACCAACATATTTAAAGCTCAGTTTGCTCCACTGGTTTACTGTGATGCTCACCTGTTCCAGCCAGATACCTGCATCATGGGGTTGATCTGAGCTGAGGAGGAGACTCCTGTTATTTTGTTCATCTTAATCATAATAATGACAACATTAGATGACAACAGGTGCTCACATAGGTTTGTGCTGATGAACATGTCTGAGCAGCTTGACCACGTTGTTGTGTGTCGGGGAGGAAACACAACGACAGCAACCACAGAGTCATGCTGGTTTGAGCGTGCCGCTGCTCGCTGGAGTTATATCAGCTCTGTCTGGACGTTAGTTGGAAAACTTTCTCTTTCAGTCGTGAACACATTACTGAGCGGCTAGAATCTCCGTTTCTGGGCTTCAACGTCAGAAAATAGCTGAGTGAGAGGAGTGTAGTTTGTCCGAGACAGCGGAGCTGCACACCAGCAGCAGGGGCTGGAAAAAACACAAAGGAGGGGGCGCGTCGGCTCCGCGCTAATGCCGTAAAGCATCATGGGAGTTGAAGTCTTTGCGGTAAAATCGGCCAGCGGGCCAGTTTTAATATATTTTTGATATTTATCTCGTGGGCCACATAAAAATGCTCCGCGGACCGCATCTGGCCCGCGGGCCTTGTGTCTGACATATGTGATGTAGAGCAATAGTTCAGTTTTCTGATGTGCGTGTAAACGCACCGACTCTTCTGTCCTTTGGACAGTGATGTTTACAAGTGGATGCAAATCCAAGTCCAAACACTAGTGATGTTAATGAGCCAAATAGGAATTTCCAATGTGAAATCTTGTGTAAGGACTTTGGAGTAAAACTTGTCTGTCCCCCCCCCCCCCCCCCCCCCCCATTGATGGCCCCCCACTCAGAAAAATCCTAGATCTGCCTCTGATTTTATCCAGCTGCAGCTTTCTTTAGACGCCTTAACCGATACACATCTGCTAAAATGTGAACAAATGAGGTTACAAATCAGACTCCTCTGATCAGAAGAAAATCTGCGATCTTTGGTTTTGCTTTCATGTTTCTGTAACCAAGTGGATTTGTGTGGATTATAGATAATAAATTATCCAGACATGTTTTTCTGTACTGTTAAATAAATGTTGAGAGCTTTTAGTCACAGACGCGACTGTAGCACAGTCTGACCCAGCAGGTGTTGTGAAGCGTGATGTTTGTTCTTCCTTTTGAACCCCTGGAGCTGATGTTGAGTGTGATCTGGTTCCAGGTATGTTCGTGACCCCAGGGCAAACTTCGACCAGTCTCTGAGCATCCTCAGACACGCTAAAAGGGTCAAACCCAACGTGCTCACCAAGACATCCATCATGTTAGGACTGGGAGAGTCCAACCAACAGATACTCAACACTCTGACTGGTATGTATACACACACAAACACACACATTTCAGTGTAAATCGGCAGAGCTCTAACAGCTTGTTGATGTCACAGAGCTGCGGGAGGCGGGAGTCGACTGTCTGACCCTGGGTCAGTACATGCAGCCCACGAAGCGCCACCTGAAGGTAGATTCGTTCACACTTGCTACAGAAACATTCTTCTGGAGAAACTGAACAGTGACCACGTGTGATTGGGTTTAGGTGGAGGAATATGTGACTCCTGAAAGGTTTGCCCACTGGGAGAAAGTAGGGCGTGAGATGGGTTTCGTCTACACAGCCAGTGGGCCGTTGGTCCGATCCTCCTACAAAGCAGGTCAGCAGCTTTGAGCCGGGATCCATTTCTACTTCAGATTAGATTCGTGAGACAGATGTTTGAAGTTTTACTTTTAATGTCTTTTGAGCGTCAGGCAGGTCTAGGTTAGACTTCAGTGCTGTAGGTGATAAAAATGTAATAATCCAATTATTATGTGAGGTGTTCAAGAAATGGAGAAATGGAATGAGTTGTTCTAAAATCCTAAAAAAATATATAGAAAATAAGAAAGATCTGCATGTCCATGATCCTGGTACCTGTTCTTGTTCGGCTACAGGTGAATTCTTCCTGAAGAATCTACTGCAGAAGAGAAAATCTGAAGTCACTGCAGCAGAATAAGCAGCAGCTCATTTATCTGACCTCTAATCTGTCTAGTAGATGAAAACTACATTCATATCAGTTTAGGAACACTTAGTTTCCAGCTGTGGCTGCAGGATGAAAGGAAACAAGCAGAAGTCACCCTTAAATCTGCGAGTCCAACTTCAGTACTACTTGCTGTCATTTTCCACCAGAATCCCTCCAGAGCTCCTGAATCCCACCTGGACTGGAGGCTGCTAGTCAGCGACGATTTAGGACAGAAGTTTTCTTCTCTAAAGGACGGGCTTTTCATTTTGTACTGTTAAATCTCTAAGATGTATATTTGTATTTAAACATTAAAAGTCTTCACCTGTATTTGGTGTTTTTGTCCTCCGACTTCAGCAAAAATGAAAAGAAACATCCGTTTATGGCGCTGGTCTTTAAACAGCTTTAGACGCAGGAGACCAACATACTGCAGGGATGATTTACAACAATAGCTTTTAAAAAATTTAATGAAAACTTGTCAACAATTAAGAACAATACTGGAACAGATAAAAGTTCACATCTGTAAGGTATGGACAACATAATTTCTGCTGAAATAAAAAGACTGAGGGGAATGTGTTTTAGATATTTGCTACGTTGGTTGGAGGTTCGCTGGCAGTGATGAGAGGACAAACGGCCGCCGGCGTGTAGGGGATTCGAGTCGTCGTCACCTTCTTTCCAATTGTCTCGATCTGCAGTCGGAGAGAAGGAGTTAGTGTCTGTCTTTCATGCTTTGTATGTACAATGTGCAGCTTTGTGCGCTCACGCAGAAGCCGATGCACTGCAGCTGAGCATGGAGGTGATCCAACACTCTGCGACCATCAAATATGAAGGCAGGCTTCAACATCATCTTGTAAATGTTCTCATAGTCCAGCTCCTGTGGTGGGATTAGAGGATCAGGAGTGGTTAAAGTTCTGCTCTGTTCTGTAGATTATGAAAGGCTAAATATGACCATGACCTTAAACATGTCCCACTCGGTGCAGATGACCAAAGCGTGTGCGCTCTGGCAGGCCTCATAAGGGTCGGAGGCCACGGTCACCAGCTCAGACACTAAAAAGGATCGACAGACAATGAATCAGGTCGTCAAATATCCCAGGGCTCTAAGTATACGTAATGTAGCTTCCGCTAACTTAGGAAAAAAGCTGTTCTTTAATCTCTAAAGAGTTTAATAACAGCCGCCATGATCGCTCATATTTCTTTTTCTGAGGAGCTTACTGCAGATCATTTCTCTTTAGCTACTCTTCAAACATTTTTAAAACTGCTCATGGTGTTGGAATCTAGAAGGGCTTTCTTCTCATTGGCCTTACCAGGCTCATGGCATTGTAAGTTCGAATTCTCTAAAGTCTATAAACGAAGAATCCCTGATCAAATCTCATCAGCCGGATGTGATCCTCCAGCTCTGATCATTATTTAAAAGGTTCTTCAGATGTGTGAATATTTACAGACTCTGTTAAAGTCTTACCCAGGGACTTCATGTTTTCTACAAGGATCAGGAAGTTAAAAACTTCAAACAAAACCAGAGCTGATAACGGGGTCACCAGAGTTCAAAGCTGTTAAACTGATCAGGGCTGCAGCATGACCACACACACACACACACACACACACACACACACACACACACACACACACACACACACACACACACACACACACACACACACACACACACACACACACCTCTTTTGGGGTTGTCCTCGGAGATGCTAGGCTGAGAGAGGTCGTGAATGATTTGCTCCTTAAGGACTTTGGGGTCATAAATGAACAGCTTGGCTCCTTCATCCATCAGGTACTTGGAGATGTAGATACTAGACGACTCTCTGCAGTTACCAAACACACAAGCGTCACCTCTGACCGGGGTGAAAGTTCACTGCTAAATAATTTGGAGAACTTCCAGATAGAGCAAAAGGATCAGCAGTGACTCAGCATGTTCAGCATGAACAGCCACAGTCCTGTTGTCTACGCTCTTTATTCCAACAGTATTTGGTTTATATTGAATTTCACCAGAGCTGAGAGGAACTAAAAGGAGACCAACCTTGTGTCACCAGTGTCTTTTTTGAAGGAGAAGCCCAGCAGAGCGATCTTTTTGCCCGTGACGGTGTTGAAAAGACAGTCGATAATTCTACAGGCGAAGCGTCGCCTCTGGTACTCGTTCATGTCGATGACCTGGGAAGAACCAGGTCCACCAGATCAGAAGGAGATTTGTGGACAACTGATAGGTGTGCTGTGGCATGTAGTTCTCACCTGCTGCCAGTAGGACGCCACCTCTGGCAGGTTGAGGGCCTCACACAAATACACCAGATTGAGAACATCCTTCTGGAAACAGCTCCCACCGAAACCTGTCCAAGGAGTGGGGCAACACTCAGATCTGTTCAACCGTGCTAGAGTTAGCTTTTCTCATAGTTCTGGTGTGTTCTGCTCAGGTGGACGTGAACTACTGTCTTGAACTTTTCTGATGGGGATGCAAATGTTTGCTGCGGTTGTTCAAAGGAACAAATGACTGTGTGTGTTTTTAAACACATGAGAATATTAGTATCCTGTCTCATGGTCCCAGTACTTACCAACACTGGCTTTGAGGAACTTGTTGCCTATTCTCTGGTCCATGCCGATCGCCTTGGCAACCTCCTCCACGTCAGCGCCGGTGGCCTCGCACAGAGCGCTGATGCTGTTGATGCTGCTGATTCGCTGTGCCAGGAAGGCGTTAGCTGCCTGCACACACAAGAATATCTCTACTTAACATTTGTGTTTGTTTATCGCCATGTAGTGATCGTCCAGTTTTAATGGATTTCAAACATTTGTACCATCTTTCTCTGATGTCATTAGTATTTTCTGGAAGGACACAAAATGTTTCATAAATAGACTTCACACCCAAAGTTGTTTAGTGTTGTTAGACAAGATTAACAATAAAACAGCAAGAGCTTTTATATCAGATGAGTTTCACTCGTATACAGTTGGTTTATTCTGCATACATGTTTTTAAACTTTAATTCATGAAGAATATGAAAGGTTAAGGTTCTGTTATCAGCATTTGAATTGAAAGATTTGTGTTACCAGTTTGGAGAGCTCTGATGACCATGTGTTGGTGGTGATTATTCTTGTTTTGGGAACCCAGTGTTCGTATACAGCACTCAGCGCTCTGATCGCCCTTTGACCTTCAGCAGTTTCGTCTCCACCAATCAGGACACGATCTGGCTCCTTCAGATCTCGCACCGCTGTTCCCTCAGCAAGGAACTCTGGGTTGGACAGCACCTAAAGCAGACATATTATTTTATAATTAACAGAAACACGACAGATCTGGGATACGTACCAGCACACACCTGCAGGTCAAGGCTGGGTTTGGTGTTAGCGTCAAATATCCGTCTGATGCTCTCAGCAGCTCTCACTGGCACCGTACTCTTCTCGGTCACAATCTTATAGCCATCAGACACCTCTACGATCCGCCGAGCACAGGCCTCGATAAACTTCAGGTCAGCCGCACGGCCCTTCCCCACCCCGTACGTCTTCGTTGGGGTGTTCACCTGTGACACGGGCGCAGTCATGACATGACAAGATGCAATCCAACCATCCAAATGGCAGAAAACACGAGATGCGGTCTGTGAAAACCAAACTGAAAAGCTTACAGAGATGAAGACGAGGTCGGCCTCCCGGATGGCTGAGTCGATGTCTGTAGAAAAGAACAAATTCTTTCCTCGGCATGACTCAACCACCTCTTTCAATCCAGGCTGGGGGAAAAAGGGAGGAGGTGGGAAACATCATCGGTGAATGTTCAGGGGAGAAATGAAAGTCAAGCCCTAACTGACCAGCATTAGTCACAGTGATGCAGTTCTTGGTTAGAGCTGACGTAAGAGAACTTGCACAGTCTGGAACTAATTTAAGTTTCATCTGGTCCACGAGAGAGCATGACTGAAATGTCTCTGACTGTTCAACAGTTCCTGAGTGTAACTCGTGAAACCCTCCAGAGACCTGAGGCGTGGCTTTTAAACAACAAAACCGGACTTATGAATCAAACGATCACTGGTCTGAATATTCCAGAGCCACGTCTCATGTCTGGTCATGTCAAAGGTCATGAGAGCTCCTTGTTAAAGTCTTACCAGACGTTATCATTTATCCTGATCTTACCTTTAGCACACAGAAGTATTAATGCTGATATGATACCTCATATATGGGCAGAGTTTCAGAGTTCCAGGCTTTAATACGAGACTCGTTGATGTCCACCACTGTCACCGTGATCTCTGGACACATGTGAGCGATTACACTGCATGTTGGGCCACCGACGTACCCCGCTCCAATGCAACAAATCCTTTTAATCTGAAACATCTGGAAAACAGTGAAGTAAACAAAAAAGAGCTTGTATCAGCCCCTGTTCTGTGCTTAAGTAACAACTAATCACAGCTGTAATTAAAGAAAAGCATGGTGATTTCTGTAGTTACAAAAATATTAACAGATTTGTGTAAATATAATTTTTTTAGCTCTGGTGTTGATGTTGGATGTTTTCTAAACAACGTAAAACCAGCTTTTCAGTTGGATTTTAAACATTATGGTGGATTAAATTCAATTTAAGTATATAAAAATCAAATTAATCCGTTATAGTCAAACTAATGTGTTGCACTTCTGGTTTACAAGTCTTTTTTAGAACCCTCTAAAACTGTAATATCACGTGTTATTACAGTTTAAAAGTTCTACTTTTACAACGAAAATCCCACAAACATTTCAGTTTGACTTTAAGGACCTGATCAAAGTAAGTCTATAAATCATTGCTCGATCTGATCGCTGCACTGGTTTTGTCCCATCCGTACCGTTACAGCAGCATAGCCACGTCCTACACTAACGACAAAAGAGTCCTTCATCCAGCCTGGACCATCGCTGCTCTCACACACACACACACACACACACACACACACACACACACACACACACACACACACACACACACACACACACACACACACACACACACACACACACTGAACTAAACACACAAAATGATTCATAAGCGGAAACCAACGGTACATGAATGGACTCCGCTAACAGAGGTTAGCTAAACTAACGTTACCTTTGCCAGCTCGACAGTTTGTGAACTTCAAGAAGGAGCAGATTTTTTTTCCTCTTTCAGACGAGTCTCCGAACCGAACCGACGTCAGTAACGGGCCTCCGGTTCGATACCGGGTGATAAGTGTCTTAGCCCGGGGTGAAGAGGTTTTGGTCGGATAAAGTCAGTCTGCTGGATCTCCTCTGGGAACTTTGTAAGCCGCAGTCTGAATTTAAGGGTCGGCGACGTATGTCTGTGGGTGGGCACGCGCAGCGAACGCACATTATTTTTCCGGTGGCGGCCCTTTCAAAATAAAATAATGTAAACATCAACATTGATCGATTATTTTTGTTTTTACTTATAGTATCCAGGCACAACGACTTTATGATTTCCTAGGAAATTTTTATTCAGGTATAACATGTTTCTAATCATTGGATACATTCGAGTATGTGACAGCCTGATGCAGGACATTCTCCCCATTTCCTCCTTCCGCTGCTTTGCTTTATTAACACATTATTTCTCTAAGCACTTTTTGATCATAACACAGATAAAAGATGGGTACCTTAAAAACAACTGAACACAAAATGGCATTTATGTGTTTGAGTTGTAAATATTTATTTATTTTCAGTGTTGAAACTTGAGGTGTCACACTGATGAATCATAAATAACACCAACCACATTTATTGAACAAATACATCATGTCAAGTTGTAAATAACATTTCATACAGCATTTAAAACTGCTAAACAGTTCTGCTGGTTTTAAAAGTTGGCAAAAAAACAACAACCTCTCTCTCTTTATTAAACAAATTTCAGAAAAAGAAAAAACTTTAAATGTAAAACACTAATGTTCTGGTGGTTCTATGTTACAAATTTACTGTTATTTTTTAAACGGAACAGTTTTATTCGGGGGGCTCCATGGCGGGGGAGGACTGTCCTGGATTATTTCTCGTACTCGTCTTTCTTCTCTTGTTCTCTTCTGCTCAAGATCCTTTCTTTTCTGTTGAAAAACAAATAAATTAATGAATAATGTTGCAGTTCAATTAAAGTTACATTGATTATTAACATCATGCGTCACAAACATTGTCCGTAAAATAGCTTTGGAGAGGAAATAATAAGTAAACACAGTTTTTCTTACCAGCCAGTTTTCATACATTTCCAAAGCCATTTTTTCCTTTTCCTCATTCATGTACTGCTCCTCTTCTACTTTCGTTTGGATTTCTTTGCGTTCCTTCTTGAGTTTTTCATGGAAAACACCTTTCTTCCTTTCACACCTTAATCAGGTTTAAAAGACAGATAAAACACAGCTTCGAGGCGAGAGTTATCTCATTACTGGGGTGTTCAGTGAAGAGATAGGGGCGGTGAAACATGAAAATCCAGCTGTGACCACCATGGAAACAGAATCATATAAGAGGGAGAAGAAACATCTGCAGCCACATCATGTGGTTTTCATGTGCAAACATTTAAAAAGGAGGCATTGATAATTCTGAAAAATAAATGTTATTCTGATAAGTAAATTAGAGATTTTAAAAATGTTTTCTGTTCATCATTTCCATCTAGAGTTTAAACAAAAGTATTATAATTTCATAACTAATAAATATGAGCTGAAGATGATAAAGATTTGCACCCACCAGTCAGAAAAGGCCAGTTTACTCTCCATCTTCCTTTCTTCCTTCTTTTCTTGTTTCTGCAGCAAGAGCTTATTTTCAGCATCTTTCTGTTGTCTGTACTTTTCTCTCAGCAGGTGATCCTGCTCCTGCTTCCATTTCTCAAACACCTTCATCGTCACCACAGAAGTGCAGATGAGCATCATATTAATGCACAGTCGTTCACGTCAGCCTCCAGATGAATCCACATCTGATAAACACTTCACCTGTTTGGCAGACTGTCTTTTTTCTTCTTTGTCTTCCGTAGCTTTTTGTTCTTTTCTAATCCTCCTGCTCATTTCTTTTGCTTTGGCTCTGAGGTTTTCTGCCTTCTTCTCCTCCCAAGCTTTGAAGGAGGCAACAGCACTTTCCCTTTTAGCCTCCTGCTCCTGCTTGTTAACAGAGAGAGGGTTAGCAGCATTCATTTGGTTTATTATAACCTCAGAGACGATAAACTGTAATCACCATTTTCTCCTTTTCTTTTAAAAGTTTCTCCTTCTTCTTTAGCTGGACGTTTTGTCTTAATGTTTCTCTTTTTGTTTTAAGCCATTCCTGTTAAAACACAAGCAGGATTTTAGCTGGAGTTATAGCGTTAACACGCAGACATAAATACACGGACTTTGTCTTAATGCTGTGAACATATAATGAGTCATGCCTTCTAACGATTTGCAACTCTTCCTTTAGATGTAATTGCATTAAGAAGGGTATTACTGTTACATCTATGTAATAAACTCATTTTAAGTTGTACTGGCAACACAATAACATCAATGTAATACTCGGTATGTGTGCAATACCGGATTTACATAGCATGTCTGTGTCCCTTACAGTGGAACCCAAACTTTCTTTTTTTTTCTCGAAGTTTTTAGCGGTCGAAGGTTACAATACTAGCTCAGTGCTCATGTGTATAAACATGTACCTTTGTTATTTTTCTTCAAATTTATCTCTTAAGTATTTGTGTTGCTGTAACAAGTGAATTTCCCCACTGTGGGATGAATAAAGTATTATTTTCTATTCTATTATAAGACACTGTTCTACTTCTGTTGAACATCATAATTACATGTTCTCACTAGGTTTTAACTGAGATCAGGTGAGAAACAACCCTTTTCCTGTTCCCCTCCTTTGTCTCCAAACAGCTGGTTCAGGTTTGCAGTGATGACTGAACTGGAGAGCAAACTTGTGAACTTAATCACCATTACGTCCTCTTGAATTACAAACTGGAAACTGCATCACGTGTTATGTCTATAGCTGCTTCTGCTAAATCTGAAATGTTCTTAAAGGTATGGGACATTCATCTAATGAATACATTTGCAGTATCTGCCTTGTAAGTCATAGTCAGGAGGGAATAAATCCTCAGCTGTGCTCGCTTCAGGAACTAGCAAAATGCCTCATCAGAGGAGAGCTGAACACGGCAGGACTTGGGAGTCTTGTTTCCTGATATTTGGAGATCTCGCCTCAGATTGGCTAACAGCACCAAGACTCACTGGGTCAGTTTGTCCTGTGACGTTGATATTTTATCTCAACAAATAACACAGGCCTGAAGGAGTTCTGCTGTGTGGTGGAGTTGCTAATGCTAACGATTAGCTTCTACAAGCAGAGACGTTCTCTGCTGTTTCCTGGACGCTAAACCAACATCCTTCCTTGTTGTGAGTCAAGATAGACAAGTCCATGAATATTATGTGACAATGTGACGTACAGTGGTGACGGAAAGTATTCAGACCCCTGTCAGTGGGGCAGCAGTAGCTCAAGTGGTTGAGCGGGTTGTAGGACCATGTCATATTTCAGTTTTTCTTTTTTAATAACTCTGCAGAAATTTTTCAATGTTTCACATCTTTAACTTCTGATCCGACAGAGTGTAGATCTCTCGGACTTTACAAAGTAAATAAAGCGACACACTCAAAGGCCAGCAAACCCCAAATACACTCATTTATTTCTAGGCTCTGTCAATAGCATGGCTGTACTTGTACAACAGCTGATGTAGCTAAGGGTTTTATCTATTTTTTGCTGCTGTCAATAGAGTATGAAGCAACAGGTGGAAAACAAAGGTCCCCTCCTAGTAGCTTGAGTTAGTTAGGGAAATATGAACATAAACACTGAAAAATGCTAAAAAAAATTAATAACTGAAATTTGGGAGGAAAATTAATATAACTAACATTAATATGTTAAGATACAATTATGATAAAAATGTATTTTAGAAGATCACCTGGCCCTAACAGTGTCTGATAGAATAAACTCTGGTCCTTGGATAAATCCAGGTGAATACCGCTGATCTAAAGGCTCAGGAACCTTTTGCAGGTGTTATGGATTCATTAGCTAATTCGAATGTGAGACTTTGAGTCTAGAATATTGAACCTTTGCACAATATTCTAAATGTCTGAGATTTCGAATGTGGGTTTTTCATAAGCTGTCAGCCAGTTTGTACCACACATGCCGTTTTATAGTCTTGATGTTGCCGTACATTTCACACATTTAAGCAATTTCAGCCGGAAACAAACTGGCATATTTCCCTAAACCCAACTTATTGCAGAACCAAACAATCATAGAAAAACAACTAGACATACAAAATGTGAAATTTACAACAGTTCTCATGAAATACTATAAAGTTTTTTTTAAAGATTTAACTTGATGCCAAACGCTGTTTCTGGCCTTCTCATCAGTTTGGTGAGAACCAGTCTCTGTTTTTCCAAACTTAGGTTGTTCAAAGGGCCTCCTATGACATATATTGATTCTAAATAACTTTTTCACAGACTAATGATTGCCAGTTGCATATTTGAATACAACCGTTACAAAGAAAACTATTTTAAAGAAGGTTAAAATAAAAAAGTTGCTGTCAGGGCTGTAAGGCTGGAACTGTGGCCTAGTAGGCTGCTCTGAAACAGCCATCAATGACTCAGTCTGACCTGGTAAACCGCTGCTCTGAGGGATTCTGCTGCTTGTGGCTGAGATTCTTGTAAGGAGATTTTACGGTCCAGAACTTTGAGATTCCCTAAATAATTTGATTCCATCTTTTTGGAGCCGACACTCTGAGACCTCGCAGTCTTCTTGGAGTGCGAACTGGAAAGACAATGTGATGTTCAGCCAACTTCCTGTTTCAAAGAAGTATCTGTTAGTTTAACCTGCATGCTCACCTGTTATCAGGGTCACAAGAGAGTTGAGTTGAGAGGTCTCTGGAGCATCCCTGAGAAAAATTAATTAATCCCTTTTTAATTATTAATGTAAAAGTCATACTAAAGAATGTACAAATGACCTTACATTAAATTCTTCAAATGATGTAGAATAGTTCTCCTCAGTTTCTTTTCCATCATCTGACGCAGTAAATCACATATCTATATTATTACATTTTACATTAATCTTTGTTAGAATTGAGAGATTATCATGAATTACCTCTGGAGACGGAATCAAATGTGGACTGCAGTTGTGACTGTGTGCTCTGGTATGAAGATTTGTTGAGGACAGGTGAGTTTGTTTGATCTGTCCACTGCCAGCAAATGATACAAGAAACATTGGTGTACTTTCCAATTAAAATCTTTAAATGTAAGCAGTAAAATAAACACATGAATCTTACATTATTGTGGCTGGATGTATCCGTCGAGCAGAGAACTGACACAGAAGAGGTCTGGGGTCGGTTTGGATCCTGAGTTTCAGTTTCTTCAACAGGTTTTTCCGAGGTGTGTGAATTTAATCCAAAGGTCCTCTGCCGAGGTTTGGGTTTGGGAGGCTCCCTCTCTGCCACACACTCTGGAGAACACAGAATAAAAAACCTTGATAAGGATCAGTACAACTTGCTTAATAAACTGACATTTTGTTTAAATGAACAAACCAGCTGAAATATTGTTGTTGAAGGAAGATGTTGATGAGTGAGGAGTGTCAGAGGTTTCGGCCACAGCAACAATCTCCTTCTCTTGCCCTGGAGCTTCCACTACAATGCCGTCAGATGGTAGCGGCAAAGTCAGCGAATCATCTGACGTTTGATACGACCTACTTGAAGTCTTCCTTGTCATTAGAGAATCGGTAGCTTCCTCATTTGTAGATTGTAAATTTTGTTCACTGAGGTTTGTGGAGTGCTTTGAGGATATTGACTCACTACTGAAGGACTCTGATGCCTTGTTTTCATGATGCTCTGAAGCCGTTTGGTTTTGGGAGTCAGAGCCATTCTTTTGAGATTTCAGGAATGAAACTTTCTTGGGTCTGCTATCTTTATCTTCGTCATCTGAAAGATCAAAATTTTTCAACTTGGTTTTATTCTTTGAAGCCTTAAAGGCATCAATCCTCTTTTTTCTTGAATGAAGAAGTTTGTTCAACAATTCTAAAAAACAAAAACATGAAAGAGAAGAAAAGACATTAAACAAAAACATCAAATGAAACGTGCACGTTTTATAACTATGGAGAGTAAAATGGTAAATGGCCTGTATTTGATATAGCGCCTTCAAGAGTTCTTGAAACCCCCCAAGGCGCTTTACAACACAATCAGTCATTGATTCACACACACATTCACACACTGGTGGGGATGAAAGTTCTGGATATTTTGATGATTACCATCCTCAACTTCATTCGTGTCTTTAGAGAATGGTTCTGCTTTTGTTTTGCTTGTCCTGGCGAACACAGCTGCTTGAAGTTCATCCTAAAACAAAACAATTACACTTCAACTGTTTATAACAACCATGCAAACCAGGCTAGTTAGATTTTATTCCTTTCATTTATCTAAATAACTGCGTAGTGAAAAAAGTAAAGACCTCACCTGAAATGTTGTTCTTTTTGTTGTTTTGGGGCTTTTAGAATAAGCGAGTGTCCTGACCTCTTGATCTGTCATAACCGAACTATAAATAAAAGCACGGAGAAATAGATTAGCATGCTAGCTAGTGTCAGCGGACGTAAGTCGGCCTCTAAACCAATTCTTTTGAAAAAAATAAAAATAAAACTTTTCACCCTAACCCTAACCCACACGTACTGACGTTAACTGGAATGTATTTTCACGCTTCTATAAACTATACGCAGCTTAATAACACGGGTTACGTAGCCAGATGCCAGAGTAGCGTAGCCTGCTAAGCTAACGTGGCTGTTACCGGTAACCAGGGAAACGAGCGAGGTTCATTTTTCACAATGCGCATGCCCAGAATAACGGAAGGGAGCGGAGTCAGGGGCCTCATTTATCAAGCTTGCTTACGCACAAAACGGGGTCGGAAAACTGCGTAAGCAACTTTCCACGCAAACTTTGGGATTTATGAAAGAACTTAGCGGAAAAATGTGCGCAACTTTAAATTGACTAAGGAGCTGGCATACGCACATTTTGGACATGGAGAGCACCTGCAGCGCTGCTGCTGAGAAGGATACAATTATGAAATCCTGCAGCTTTATCAGTTGTACTGCTTTGTTTTCACACAGAACAAGACCCCCCACAATGCAGCTCAAAAATTGAGCCCAACCCGGAAGTACCAAAACTTGCAGTTCCACCCTCATCCGCTGGGGGCTGGTGTCAGAAGTTAGCAAATTCCTCATTGACTCCCATGTTAAAAATACCAATTTCCCAGCAGAAATAAACATGTTTACAGCCTGGTTCCAAAGCATGTTTTTTGTTTAAATGATCTAGTTCACACTCATGACAACTCTGACGGGGGTGAATTTTTTTCTCACTCTTCTGTTTAAGTGTATTAAAAGCCTAAAATTCTGTATAATTAATGAGCATCCGACCCACGTGACCGCCGCCTCAGACCCACGCCTCTTCTCCCCTTCCCGCAGCTCGGCGCATCTCTGTCTGATCGCGGCTTCTGTCTGCTGTGCGGGCTGCCGGCTGGTTCTCCCCTCCCCGCAGCTCGGTGCATCTCTGACTGCTGCGCAGGCTGTCGGCTTGTGAAGCTTTCGGAGACCTGTGTTCCACCCGGTTTTACCCAGCCCGGCGTATCTCTGACTCAGAAGCTCTGGTGTGGTGCACATTTAACTCCGGTCGTAGCTAGGTTGCTACCTCCGTTAGCTTAGCTCCCACCTCCGCATTAGCTTTGGGTTAGCTTCAGGTTAGCTTGTAGCTAGTTCGACCGGGTGTTGTCAGTTGATCCCAGCCTTACAGCCCCACCCTCAGCTCCACCTCTCTTCCCTTTTGTGGAATTGTCTGGGCTTGATGGAACCTGTGACACGGTCAAAATGGCGGTGGTGGCCACCTGGGTAAAACTGGGTGGAACACAGAGGTCTCCGAGACCTCCACAAGCCGGCAGCCGCACAGCAGACAAGTGCCGCTGCGACCTGAGATGCGCAGAGCTGCCGCTGGGGAGAACCGGGTGGAAAGGTTTCCATCACAGAGCTCCACAAGCCGGCAGCCCGCGCAGCACACAGAAGCCGCGATCAGACAGAGATGCGCTGAGCTGCGGGGAGGGGAGAACCGGATGGAAAACATCAGTCTCCCAAGAGCTCCACAAGCCGATAGTGGGAACCCAGCTCCACCAACATGTTATATTTCAACCCATTTTCTAAAGTGCAGCATTATGTTAAATGCACTGGGTTTTACCCTATTACATTTAAATTTCATGGTTAAACAGTACATGTTAAAATCTAAGCTCAGCTCGGCAATGACCTAAAATACATAAATATAATTTTACTTACCGAAAAAATGAAGTGGAGACTCCTTGGACGCCCTATTAGTGCAATTAATGCCACAGCAAGTCATTTTGTCCAACAATTGCACAAAAAATATCCAAACAAGAACACACAAACACAGAGACTCAAAATCCCGGAGCAGTTTCCAAGCCAGGCCGAGGCTCTACTGAGGCCTTTCCACGGAGCTAGCTCTGTGGTCACGTGGGTCTGATGCTCATTAATTATACAGAATTTTAGGCTTTTAATACACAAACAGAAGAGTGAGAAAAAAAATTCACCCCCTCAGAGTTGTCATGAGTGTAAACTAGATCATTTAAACCAAAAACATGTTTTGGTACCAGGCTGTAAACATGTTTATTTCTGCTGTGAAATTGGTATTTTTAACATGGGAGTCAATGAGGATTTGCTCGCTTCTGACACCAGCCCCCCAGTGGATGAGGGTGGAACTGCAATTTTTGTCACTTCTGTGTTGGCCTCAATTTTTGACCCGCAATGTGGGGGCTTGAATGTGTCTGACAGTGTGTGTCCTGTCACTGTGACCTGATTGATCATGCGCCCAGGCTACTTAGACAAGGAAGATTTCTGTTTGGCTGACTGGTTAGCGTGCGTGACTTTCACCTGGGAGTCTGGGGATTGAATCCCGACTGGACCATTTTTTTATATCCGCCACAGATCTCTCTGAAGAATCCACAACATTGATGGCTTCAGTAACGCTGTGCCACTCCGTGGATTTTCTCTTATTTGTTTTGCAAAAGCACTTCCTTTCATTTCTCCACCTCACCCACAGGTACCTCAACTTCTGCTTCTGTGAAATTGCGCTTCTTTGATCTGCCTTGATCTACGGTCGCCATCGTCAATGGCGGAGCGCTGCAACAGCTGGCTTATGTATATGCATGAGATCCACAAGGCACTTTGCATTGATTATTTATGGCAGTAAGTGGGCGTGGTGAGGGCGGGATGTGACTAAAATGCAGCTGAGAAAAATTCTCGTTAGTCTCCGATTTATGGAGCGGAGATTGCGTGCAGCTGTGCGTCCTCCATGTTTGATAGATCACAAACCTACTTGGCGCAAGTACGGTTTTAGGAAGGATTCTACACAATGTTTGATAAATGAGACCCCTGGTCAGAACATACCCCTAATTGACAGACCAAAAATAAACTCCTTTTACATTGAGAGGCACATTATATTTTTGCACTGCTTTTGAAAGAATTTTAAAAATGAATAATCCTCAAACAAAAAAAGGTAAACAAGAGAAAACAAATGATAGAAAACAAAGCTTTAACCTAACCTTTTATAGATATTATAGGTGAGAGTTGACTTTCAATCCACCTGAGAAAATATGAAGAATGCAAAACTACAATTCTATGGATTTTAATCATTTTGCATAAAACTGAAACATTTTGGACACAGTTATGCAGATAGAAATGTTAAGACAGAAAAGTGTGGGTTCATAATAAAACAAAGACAAGATATTTAGACTTTGATTTTTATTTGTTTTGCTGTAGGAAAAGTGCATAGCTCAAGCCCTTTAACTCTTGTTACATTATCATTTGAAGTCTCCTGTCATACTAAATATTCTTACAGATCTCTGAGAAAGTCTGGCCTCCTAATTTATTGTATATGAATGCCAAAGTTTATTGTAATTGTTACAGCTGCTCCCTGCTTTACCACACAAAATACAACTAAAAGTTGTATAAGAAGTAAAGACATCTGGTATAAAAACAAGGAGTAGCATATCTGAAAGTACGAAACAGGTCCTAAAACAATACATTGAGGTTTCTGATATTCTGGAAGTAACCCAAAGCCCAGATACAGTTTAATGGTCAATCAAGACACAGATAGATGCTCACAATATATCTTGAGAAGAAAGGAAAATGTTGAAAAGCTATAGAATATTGTTTCAGTAAAAAACTGATACATTGGGACTGAACTTGTGAGTTGAATTATGGTTTTAGATAAATGGGTGCAAGAGACCAACAGGAGACTAACATACAGATCCAGTAAAATCAATGAAAAAATACAGACTTTTGGAAAGAAACCGTTTGCATAAAGGGCTTTAAATATCAAAACTAAAAATCCACATTGGCACAGTTGAAATATAAACCTTTCAATTCAATTAAGTCTGGCACAATACAGGAGTTCTGTTGAATCAGGACATCAGACCCTCCGGAGGGAACAGATGGGCTGATAAAATACAGTTTTTAGTATACATTACAAATTCTTTAAACTACAAAATTATTTACAGTACACAAAAACTCTTCGCCATGTGTCTGAATACTTTGTTTTGAGTTTGTCCTGAAACCTTACCCTGTAATTAACCACAATCTAAACTTTCTAATGGGCCACATTTGCATAAACAAGCTCACGTAATAACGCAAACCTGACAATTTGGTAATCATGCTGGTTTTATATTGTGTCTAACTATTTGATGAGATACAACTTTGCTGGTTGTGATCAAAGTTTTAGCTTTCAAACAGAAAAAGTGGAATGTTAGAGTAGGACCCAGGAACCCATCACCACTCATCTACTGAGGGAGCATGGAAACAATCATGTACCCACCCAACAGGGATGTCCTAGGATTCCCTTTGTCCCCTCTGCTCAGACCATGTGATACATTCTGTCATGCCCGAGTTTCTAAGCATGCGTGGACACCAGAGACAGACCCAGGACCAACTTCAAACCTGGACCTAAGAACGGGTGAAACAACTCAAGGAGCCCAACTAACACAATAGTACTTTTTATCATCTGCTTCTTAACATTAAAACACAAAAGTATTAGAGTTTATGGTACATTTCGTTTACATTTTCACTATTTACTTGAACTTATACTTTTTGAAAATATATTTAGAAGTTTTCTCATTTAGACATTTTCTCCCTTATTGGTTACATGCATGCATAAATGATAAAAACTTGCCCTTTTACCATAATGATTATAACAGTAACACCTATGCTGTGTTCTGATGTAAAACAGTCCAAGTTAGATGGGCTCCTGAAACCAGAATCAAATAATATCATAAAGAAAAAAGATGTGGATGAGAGCTGACAGAGATGCTGTTGTCCTGGTAACGTTTACAGCCTGATGTGCTGCTCCTATCCAACTGCTGGTGTTATGACTCCATTATTAGTCCACAGGTGGTGCTGGAGGCTCCCTTCTTTCACTCTGAAAACCCAAAGAAAAAAACAGAAAAAAAGAGCACATCAAAAAACATTTGAACCCTCTGCTCCTCTAAAGTACCAAGATATCACTAAATTTGAACAAGTAATGCTAAAACTTAGCAGTAAACTATTTTTTTTTAAATAACACAGGTTATGTAGCAATACTGATATCCAAACTCCTTTCAACTTTTTGTTATTCAATTATTCAATGCTGGAGTAAATTTACAGATACCCACTGGAAAAGGCAGGACTAAATGTAAATGCTGAATCAGTCACAGGTCGTTAAATTACTGAACTAAAACGCTTCAACTGGTTTGTGTAGTGAGCAGAAATGTAGCTGTGTTTAAATGAAATACACCAGCAATAGTTCCAAGGACCAACAGGAACTAATGAGGTGATAAGATGGAAAATTTCTTGTGTCACAACAGCAAATAAAGCCTTTTTCAAAATGTATTGACTAAAACTTTATTTTTTTTATTAGAAATGGTCATCCCAAGACTTACGATGGTAACTGGTCATCTGATATCATGTTTATGAACCTTACACCTTTCTTATGCCTGAAAATATGGGTTATGTACACACCATTTAGCTAGATCTTCATTAATAGAGCTGGTAAACACCAATTAGTGTAAAACATGCTGGATTTACTGAACCCACCTAAAGTTACACAGGAAACCTGAACATGAACAGGCTTTACAGCTAAGTTGTGCAGCCATGCAGCTGGTCAGTAATCAGATCGATAACAAACTAAGAAGTTAGAACAGATCAGTTTTAACTACCTTGAGGAATCTGCTGTACACATTTGTTTTTGACACACATATGATAAACAGATGACATAAATACATAAAGAAATGTACAAATACTAGGGAAGTCCAGTATTGGTCAACTAATATTATCGACCAATATTGGCCTTATAAGGGGAACTAAGCAGTTTTGGCTTGCTCATAGCAGTCCTCAGTGTCCGTTTGTAGAACTTTTTAACACCGTAATCCAACAGCTGAAACTTCTCCCAGCCTTCCTTAGTGTCTACAGGAGGGATTCATCACTAAATTTAACAAATAAGCTGTGTTCATGATCTAAAACATGCAGGACACATACTGGAAGGAGACTGTAGTGCAGTAGGTAAGCTCAATTTTCTCAACAGAGCAGTCTCCAAGCAGCCCACCAGTATGAAGTTGCAATTGGAATATTCTGGCCACAGGAGGCAATAGGGCCTTTCATTAACCATGTACAGGGTCATTTTAGCACGTATTGGCTCGAGAAATTGCAGTTTTTTTCCACATTTTAAAATCAAAGTATCATTTTAAAATGTAACCTCGGAAAATGTCTGTTTTTACTGCTTCAGTGACCCAACTTTTATGTACCGTGCGAAAATTACACAAACTCTTTTGTTCTTCTCTTTCAAAATGCCAAAATATGACAAATCTGATGTTTAGTTTTTTAGATATTTTCATTTTATTTGGGACAACTTGTGAATAATTAGGGATTTGCCCTGCTGTTCATAGAGCCTGTAGCTATGACACACACACACACACACACACACACACACACACACACACACACACACACACACACACACACACACACACACACACACACACACACACACACACACACACACACACACACACACACACACACACACACACACACACACACACACACACACACACACACACACACACAAAACAGAAACTAGGTGGTCTTGGAATCAGTGATGGTCTGAGGTGTGAACACTTATATTGTCTATGCAAAACGTTACAAAGTAAGATTATTTTTAACAGCAATGTCTCACTTTGATCCATTTTCAATTCAATTCAAATATACTTTATTAATCCCAGAGGGAAATTGATTGCTGTAGTAGCTCAGAATAATAATAATAATAATCAAGTCATCAAAGAGTTGTTGTATATTACAATGGCTGTTGGAGAATCCTTCTTTGCATTATCTCCTCCAGTGGTTCCACAGTCGTCCCCAGAACAGAACCAGCCTTTTTTATTAGGCTGTTGAGCCTTTTCAGGTCCCTGCTTCTGATGCTGCTACCCCAACAGATGATGGCTGAAGAGATTACACTCTCAACAACAGACTTGTAGAAGATCTGCAGCATCTTGCTACAGACATTGAAGGACCTAAGCGTCCTAAAGAAGTGCAGTCTGCTGTGCCCCTTCTTGTAAACGGGTCCGCTGTTCTTTCTCCAGTCCAGTCTGGTTTCCAGGTGAACTCCAAGGTATTTGTATTCCTCAACCACCTCCACTTCTTCTCCCATGATGGAAACAGTGTTTGACTCCACCCTGTTTCTTCTGAAATCTAAAATCATCTCCTTTGTTTTGTTCACGTTCAAGGTCAGATGACGGTTTCCACACCATGCCACAAAGCGCTCCACCAGCTCTCTGTACTCAGCTTCCTGTCCATCTCTGATACACCCAACAACTGCAGAGTGATCTGAGTATTTCTGTAGATGACAGGTCTCTGATTTGTACTGGAAGTCTGAGGTGTACAGGGTGAAAAGGAATGGTGAGAGTACAGTCCCCTGTGGTGCTCCAATGTTACTGATCGCCTGGTTTGATGTGCTGTTCTTCAGCCTCACAACTGTGGTCTGTTTGTCAGGTAGTCTTTAATCCAGGCGATAGTTGAGGCCCCCCACCTGTGTCTTCTGGAGTTTCTGGCAAAGTACTTCAGGCTGGATTGTGTTAAATGCACTGGAGAAATCAAAGAACATGACCCTCACAGTGCTGCCTGCTTTGTCCAGATGACAGTGGATCGGTTGAAGCAGCTGGATGATGACATCTTCAACTCCAACTCCATGGCGATAAGCAAACTGCAGCGGGTCCTGATATGTTCTAGTTTGCTTATTCAGGTGGACCAACAGGAGTCTCTCCAGGACCTTCATGATGTGGGATGTCAGGGCAACCGGTCTGTAGTCGTCATTGACTGATGGGCGAGTTTTCTTTGGAACTGGAACAAGGCAGGATGTCTTTCAAAGGACTGGAACCTTCTCCTGGGCCAGGCTGAGGTTGAAGAGGTGCTGCAGAATCCCACAGAGCTGCTCTGCACAGGCCTTCAGTACTCTGGGGCTGACACCATCTGGACCTACAGTCTCTCCAGCTGCCTCTTCACCTGACTTCTAGAGACAGATAGGTGGGAGAGGGAGGTAAATAGGGCAGCAGCATCTCCTGACTTGGTTGAAGACAGATTTATAGAACAAGAAGAGTCTATGACTGCGCTAGAGGACAAAAGAGCTGGCGTGTGACAGAGAAATGTTGGATTAGAGGAGGATGGGATATCTGACTGGCTGGGGACAGGCGAGGAGGATGCTGGGTTTGTTCCTGAACTGAACCTATTGAAGAACTTGTTCAGTTCATTGGCTGTGTCCAGGCTGCCATCTGTGCAATCCTTCCTCTGCTTGAAGCCTGTGATCTTCTTCATCCTTGACCAGACATCTCTGATATTGTTCCTCTGTAGTTTGTTCTCCAGCTTCTTCCTGTATGCCTCCTTGCTGTCTCTGATCTTGATCTTCAGTTGCTTCTGTATACTCCTCAATAATTCCCTGTATCCCTCCTTGAAGGCTCTTTTTTTCTCATTTAGCAGATTCTTTAGTTCACTGGTGATCCAGGGTTTGTTATTAGCGAAGCATCTCACTGCTCTGGTGGGTATGATGTTGTCCACACAGAAGTTTATATATTCAGTGACATATCCAGTCATGGCATTGATGTCATCTTCATATCCTTGGCAAAGAGTCATCCAATCTGTGGTCTCAAAACAACCCTACAGGGCTTCTTCAGCATCCTGTGACCATTTTCTCACAGTTCTTCTTGTCACCAGAGGCGGTTTTACCATTAGGCATAGGTAGGCGGCCGCCTGGGGCCCCCTTGTGTTGGTGGGCCTCCTAGCCCTGACCGCCGGCACCCCTCTGTTGATGCCACAATACTCTTATTACCAACCTGTCGCCACAGATGGGATTGGACATGCTTCTCATTACCATAATTCCTGAACCGTTCAAGATATCATTAAAATTCCAAAAGTGCTGAAAAGATTAAAAATGGGGCTTTTTGTGCATATACAATACATTATGGTAGCCACCGGGATTCCCTGTCTTGAGCGCAACCAATCACAACACAGATTCAGAGACGTGCAGAGTTTGTCATCCAAAATGCACCGTTTTATAACTTTTGAACGGCTGATCAGATTCAGAAAATTCCAAAGGTTCCTAAAAGTACATAAAAGCAGCTTTTCAAGGATCTATAGCATGAAGCAATCAGAGTTATGGAAAATATCGCTACGAGGGGAAATCCTGCTGTATAGCCTGATTGAAACGGAACGCAGCGCTGCAGTGAAAGTGGATAACGGAACGGGGAAGCTAATTAGCATAAAAACCAGCATGAAATTATGGAAATGCCTCAAAGAAAATCAACACGATCTATTAGGTGTCTCAGAAGGCTTAAATCTGAAGACAGTGACCACTAAGAAGGGCAGATCTCCGGTGAACCAGGGTATGAATGTTTGTTCAGTCTTTATTTTTTTTTATTTGAAAAACCCTCAACTATTTGCTAATTGTAAGATTCAGCTTCATTCCAGCATTATTCATCTTTTTACAATAAATAATTACATTTGCTAAAACAAAAGTTTTTGGTATAGCAGTGCACGTGTGCAAGAGAAGCACCCCATGGCAGTGTGAGGTGTGCAGGACTCTGCCTGCAGCTGGAGAGAAACTGCTTCAAAGTCTACCACATCAAATAAAAACGTCTGAAAGTTTACTAAAATAAATGTTCTTAAAACTGCTAAAAAAAGATACCAGGGTTCAAACTTTTTTAAAGAAAAGATGCATTACAGTTCAAAGTTTAAATTGTTCATTCCAAATTGTTCGCCCAGTAATTTTGAAGTTCCTGTTCAGTAATAAATGTAAAAAAAATTCAAATCCATTTTTTGCTTTTTTCACTTTTAAGCTGATTTTTTAAAGGCTTTAATAGAAATAAATTCTAAATACAAACCATACACTGAAAGCTG